TGACTGCAACTCCAGGCCTTTTGACCAGCCTCTCCCCATTTCTCCCCCCTCCCCCCACCAGCCCCTGGTAATGACCCTTCTACTCTCTGCTTCTGGAGTCCACCGATGAGTAAGACCACCTGGTGTTTGTCTTTCTGTGTCTGGCCTGTTTCATTTAGCGTAATGTCCTCCAGGTTCATCCATGTTATCACAAATGGCCGGATTTCCTTCTCTTTTTTTAAGGCTGAGTGATATTTTATTGTAATTTTCTATATCCATTCATTCTTCCATGGACATTTAGGCTGTTTTCGTATCTTGGACATTGTGAATAGTGCTGCAATGAACCTAGAGACATCTAGAAGATATCGCTTCTAGATATTTATTTCATTTCCTTTGGGTAAGTACCCAGGAGTGAAATTGCTGGATGGTGTGATAGTTCTACATTTAATTTTTTTGAGGAACCTACATTCTTTTTTCCAGGGTGGCTGTGCCAGCTTACATCCCCCAACAACACACGAGGGTTCCCTTTTCTCCAATTGACTTCTGTTTTCTAACTTAGCCTCATCCTGCCCTGCCCGGTTTTGCTCAGTGGTTAGAGCATTGGCCTGCCAGAGAGACCTGGGTTCGGTTCCCGCTAAAGGCATGTACCTCGGTTGCAGTTTGTCCCCAGCCCTGGTTGGGTTGTGCGGGTGGCAGCCACTCAATGTGTCCCTTTCACGTCGATGTCTCTCTCTCTCTCTCTCTCTTCCACTCTATCTGAACAAAAAAATGGAAAAATGTCCCCGGGCGAGGATAAAAAAACAAAAATTAACTTAGCCTTATTCTAAACAATAGTGGTTATAAAATCACACAAGTGATATACTAGTTCTATAACTTTTTAATACATTTTTAAACTCTCTTTAAAAATGGTAACTATTAGAATTAAAAGTGTTCTACCACGTACCAGCTAAAAGTACACGCTGCCCAGGATGTGTTCCTGGCACGCTGGGCACCTGGGTCTGTCCGACGCCTTCCACGACCAGACAGTCAAGCCGAGGCTGGAGAGACTGTGGCCTTGTCGCGTGCTCAGGACATGAGCACTGCTTTGGGAGTCAGTATCCAGGTCTGCTGCCGCCATGGTCAGCCCAGCAGGTGGGGTCCCGGCTGCACCATTATAAGCTCTGTCGCCTGCACATGTCACTTTACCTCTTGGAGCCTGGGTTTCGTCGTCTCTGCTATGGTCAGTGACCCTGCCTGATGCCTACAGGCTCCATAATGTCATAATGTGTCCAGAACAGACCTGGATGGCCCCTTCTCCACCCTTTTCTCTACGCAGCTAATATGAAAGGCGTGGCATTGATCCAGCTGGCCGGGGACCCCCACCGGGGGGTCTGCTCCTCTTTCTTCCTCACCTCTCACCACCAGACTTTTCTACCCTGCCTTTTGCCAGTACCGGGCCAGTGTCCCTGTGGGACCAGCCTGACATGACCCAGGTCAGGACGCCTGCCAGATGCCCTGGCACCCTCCCCATCTGTCTGGCCAGCTGGACATGGGTTGTCCAGGCTTATGGACTGGAGCTGTGAGCCAGTGTCCTGGCTGACCCGGTCAGCCCAGCCCTGAATCCATGTGCCCAAAGTGAGGAAAGAGCCTTCTGTGTTATGACAGCCAGGAAGGACCCCCAGTACTTCCAATGCAAGAGATGCGGCTGAGCTGGCAGGGGGACCGTGCTGTGACCGAGGCACCTGCCACCACTCGGAGGTCTCTGCAGAGCATGGACAAGGGGCAGCCTCACCCTCCAGGCTTCAGATGCTGGAAAGGGCTCTGACTGGACAGACTTAGTGGGTCATCTGTAAAGGGCCCTCCTAGGACCATGTCACCACCATCTCAAGGGCATTTGGAGAGGCTAGTGTCGCCCAGAGGCCTGTGAGCTCCAAGACCACCTGCCCAGGCCTGGTGAGCAGTGTCCACAGCTGGAGTCCAGGCAGCCGGGCCTTGGGACAGTGGAGGAGTTCAAGATAGAGAGGAGCCCGGCCTCTTGTCGTCGGGGCCCACTGTGAGAGTTGGATGAAGGTTCAGGAACATCCAAGGGGCTTCTCATCCCCCACGTTCCTCAAAGGACACAGACATATGGTCCTTTTATCCCACAGATGCTTTGACAGTTCTTGTGGGAGCCACATCCAAATCCTGCCTCTGTGTCCACAGTCTCTCCCTCCATCCCCACCACATCCCTTGCCAGGGCCACATCCTGTCCTGTCATCCTCGGGGCTGCTGTATCTCCAGAGCCCCCAACCCCACATCCTGATCTAGGCCTGGCCTCCTCCCACCCTGTCCCCTCTCTTCCCCTCCTCCCTCTGAGGGCTGGTCCTTCACCTCCCCAACTCTCCAGTCGCCTCCCTGCCATCTTCCTCAGCCCAACCCTGCTTCCCTTCTCCCCCCTGGCTCTCCCCAGCATCCTAGCCTGGCTCCAGTGGGGAGGGCTCTAGGAAGCTGGTGTTGGCGCCACTTAGAGAAAGGGCAAGTGGGCAGAGCCTGTGAGGTGGCACCAAGGTCTGTGGCTAGACTGTCCTGGCCTCCGTCTCCCGGCTTTGTGACTCGGGGAACCCACTGGCTGACTGCTGTGGATTAATGAGCTCCCACCTGTGAAGCAAAGGGCGACCGCAGCTAGCACCCGGCCGGAGCCCGCAGCGAGGACTGGAAGGCCAGGACCGTCACATGGAATTTGGGATCAAGTGCGGCTCGTGTTTGTTTGGTGCCTGTGCTAGGCCCGGCCCGTTGCAGGGGCAGAACTGCAGCCGTGGGACTCGCGCAGGTTCCTGCTCTCGTGGGCTCCCTGGCCCAGGGAGGCTCCTGGGAGCCAGGGGTGGGTCTGAGCCCAGAAGTAGAGGCCCTCGCTGTCAGGCCTGATGGCCACAGGCAGCAGCATGTCTAGGGAGCTGCTGCCATACAAGTCCTGGGTCTCAGGATGGCTGGGTGGAATCTCGTGGGCGGGGCCCTGCGATCTGCACGGCCAGGTTAGCATCGCCAGGTGATCCTGGAGGAGCGCACCTGAGTGGGGCAGGTCTTCGGGGAACTTCACACAGAGGGGACACAGCTATCCGAAGGATATTGATGCTTTGGGCTTGGTTGTAGTCACGCCCGAAGAGACTCTTACTCTTAACAAAGGCTGGGAATTTGCCCTCTGGTTGCTGGCTGCACCCATCTCCCAGCCCCTGGACCTGAAAATTGCCCTGCGATTCAGAGCCCCCGCCGGGCGCTGGCTCCTGATGCCAGGAAGAGACCCGAAGGAACCTGGGGGGGGGGGGCAGCTGCCTCTCATCTGAGTCCAGTGAGGGGCGGGTCTTCCTCTTGGCAAGCTCAGGGCAAGGCGTTTGTCACCCCCGAGGAGAAGAGAAAGGGGCCAGGGAAGCTGCTGGGCGGTGAGGAGGATTGGAACCCAGGTCCGTGGGGCTCTTCCTGAGGGTGCTGGGCTCTGGGGTGTGGAGGTCTGCGCTCTGTTCCCCAAACTGGACGAGGGCTGACTCTTCCCACCTCATGACATCACCTCAGCTCCGTTTCTGGCCCCTCCAAACCTGCCCATGGCAGGTGTCAGGGGTCCCCAGAAGCCCGTCACAGGGAGCAGGTTCCCTGGTTTTCTTCCCTTGGGGTCAACTTTGGGAGAATTAGTGGCTGGTTATGTAAAATGATCATTTTTAGAAGAAAGCATAATCACAACTTACATACAAATATGAAGTGAATGCCTGCCAAACATTGTATGCAATTAATGAGTGGTAAGATGTTACCACTGGTTCATAGGGGAATTCAAGTGCCTGACATATGAGGCTGGATGGTGAAATGAATTTACAAATAGGTGCAAAACTGGCTGAATACAATTTTGTCCAGTTGCAATACGATTGGACAAAATCATGTGCGTGCCTATGGACAAGAATAATTTGCATTGCTATCGGTTATCTACAACTTGGAGTTGCATAGTAGCTCAAGGACAATAAAAGTCCCCAGAGACAACCCAGGCTGGGAGACTGGCATCAGATAACCCAGAAGGTTGGCTTAGACAGTGCCTTATTCTGCACTGAAGACACCAGTAATCTTTTGATTCATTTCAGTCTTTCAGTTATGAGAAGTGGGCCACAAATATGGCTCTGAGCTTCCTGGCTGCCAAGTTAAAGAGGAAACAGCCTCAAGATTCAGTGTCTATAAGGACAGATATGTAGTAGTTGTTCACCGTACGTTCGGCCTCTCATTGCCTTGAGACCGGGTTCTACTTCCGGGAGGGGCCTCGTAAAGGGAACCCAGTGAGCGGAAAGCAATGTCCTCACAATATTTCTACTACAAATGCAGTGGCCACGCTGGTGTAGCTGCTTCCAAAGGCCAGGACAGTGGCTCTCAAAGTGAGGTCCCAGGCCAGCAGCATCAGCCTCACTTGGAAACTTGTTAGAAGTGCAAATTCCCAGGTTCCACAGACACTCTGGGGGTGGGGCTCAGCTCTCTGTGTTTCCACAAGCCTTCTGGGTGGCTGATTCTGATACAAGCAGAAGTTTGAGCATCATGGGGCAAGGATTCTTAACCTCGCCATCACTTTAGAATTACCTGGAAAGCTTGAACACAGCATCACGCCTGCGACCCACCCACGACCAGTTAAATCAGAATTGTTGGGTGTAGGGCCCAGTTACGTATATTTTTGAAGCTCCCCATGTGGTCATACTGTGTAGCCGGGATGGAGGCCCACTGCCATGGAGTCATTTAATGCAAGGTGATGGCAAGAGATGTCTCTGCTCTAGAGAAATCCACACCTGCATTTGTGAAGCATGTGAGACTATGTCTTCCCTCGTCCTCCCTCCCTCCCCTCCTCCCTCCCTCCCTGTCTTCAACACTGAGCATGTACTGTTTGGATGGCAGAGTCCAGGGCCCCAAGGTGAACGGCGCTCAGAAAGGCAATAGCTAGTGGGAGCTCCTGGCAGGTGAGGGTGTGGGGATGAGGACACGGCAGTGGGGGTGGCCCTCGGCCCAAGCCCCGTCCCATCTGACGCTGTTGCTCTTCCTGGCAGGCTGCGAGGGGCTGTGGGACAACATGAGCTGCTGGCCCTCCGCTGAGCCGGGACAGACGGTGGAGGTGGAGTGTCCGCGATTCCTCTGGATGCTCACGGGCAGAAACGGTAACCATCCAGCCGAAGGGGTCCCCTGAGACACTATGGGTGGCCTCTGAGTGGGGCTTGCAGTTCTTGTTAGGGACTGGAAATCTTGCTTGGGGGGTGTAGATGGGCTTGATCCTTAGGCTCCCCAGCGAGGGGGCAGGAGGCATTGGGGAAATGACAAAGGAGGCTTGCTTCTCTCTGCTCCATGTGCCCAGTCTGGGGCTCCCCACCGCTTCTTCTACGTTTCCTCCCCTTAGGAACCAGGGCCCTTGCTCCAGCCACTGGGTCTGGACCCACCCTGCCACAGCCTGGCTCCCAGAGCACTTGCTCCCTGTGTGCGCTCTGCCCGGCCTGCCGATAAACTGCTGTCCCTGGGAGCCCCTGGCCCCCTGGGGATCTGTTGCCTGGGAAAAGCTAGTTTATGAGGAATTTCTTAACTTCAGGCAGGGCGGCGAGGGGGCTGTCAGCCAGGGGTGCCCAGGGGCCATCACTGGGGACAGTCCCTTATGTGCTAGGCCTTAGCCGTCAGGACCCTCTGCAAATCACGGACCTTTCTCCCGGCACTTGACCCAGTGAAGAGTCATAACGGCCTATGAGGGGTTTAGCAATTTGCCAAAGTTCACAGCTAGGAGACGGAGACAGCAGGACTCAAACCCAGATTTCTCTGACTTCAAAGCTGGCGCTCAGTTCGACGCCAAGGTCAAGGTGGGCCTCCAACCCCACAGTGGGGGTGATCCTGGGTGGAGGCAAGGTCGTTTCGTGGGCTTTGGCCCCTTCACTTAGTGGGCTCGTTTAAAGGCTAAAGCACGGCCTGGCCCTGCCTCCCCTCTCCCCTCATCCACGTGGGGCAAGAAAAGCTGCCGGATGAGGCCCTTAACCAGAATGAACCAAAAATGATGATTTAACACTAAAACCCATCAGCCTTCCAAAGTCAGGACACTATGGCCGGCACAGACCAGGACTGTGTAGCATGGAACAGGAGTGTAAATTCTTCACACCATGATTCTCTAGTGCACATGCGTGTGTGCACACGCACAGATTTGGGGAACACGCTGCTGTAGCTCACTGTCCGTCTCAGCCTCACTTGACGCCCCACGATACAGAAATGGGACGGGCCAGGGAGTCTGGGTAATGCTAGCTGCTGAAACAGACACATCCCAAATCTCGAAGCTGTCACCCCGTGCTGTCCTCCGGGGTCCAGAGCAGGTCTTCTGAGCAGGAGGCTGTCTCCACGTGGTCCTGGCAGCGCCCTGCTGCGCGTGGGCTCGCGCGTTCAGGCTGACCAGTGAAGGGAAAGGACGGGTCAGCCGTGGAGATGTTGAAGGACCAGGCCTGAAAGTGATGCCGTTTCTCCCATCCTGCTTCTGCCAGAACTCGGTCACGAGGCGACTCCTGGCTGCAAGGGGGGTGGGGAAATGGGTGCCGTCTCTGTCTCTGGGCCCAATTCCTCAAACAGTCTCTGAGCTTCAACTTTCTCACCTGTGAGATGGGGAGAATGAATAACACCAGTCCTTAAGGCTGGACTTGGAAATAAATCCTATGTTCCTTCGTCACTTCTCTGCCCCTCGTACCCCTTCTTGTTCTTCCTTTCTCCCCTGAAGCGCCCCCACAGGCACACACGGCAGCAGCCTTACCTACAGCCCTTATCTCCTGGCGTGACCCCTTCGTGTCTGTGCTGGGGTCTGTGGAGCTCGGGGCACAGATTGGTCCAGATGTGGTTGACCTTGAGGAACTTGCTGGTCAGGTGCAAGTCCAGGACCAGACCCTGGTCTCGGACTCCCCATCCAGTGCTCCTCTCTGGCTGGCCAAGTTGTCCTGTTGGAGGGATTGGAAGCTCCCCTGTTTTCCCAGCCCTCCCTTCCCAGCCTCCTCAGAGCCCCTGTGCCTCTGCCTCCCCCACCACTATCCCGCCTGCCCTTCTGCGGAGGAGCCAGGCAGGGCCCTGCTAACGCCACATCCCTCCCCGGACAACTGCTGAACTTCCGCCTGCCCGTTAACTAGAATCCGACTGTCTCCTTCTCGAGGCTCCTCAACCCTTTAGTTGCTCAAGCCCCCCCGGGGGTCACTGAGAGGTGCAGTTTCAGGTCTGCATGCTGTAGGAAAGGAAGCTGGGTCCTATGCCAACCTCTGATGGCGTTTCTTCTTGCTGCCACCTGGTGTCGCTATAGGGCTACAGGACCTGCCCGTCGGCCACACTGAGGCTCTGCCTGCTGAGTGCTGTGCACTGCGCCCGGAGCGTGGGGATAGGGGTTATCTTACCTTGGGGAGTCTACCCTGCTCATACGCAGCCCGAGGCCCAGGGCACGGCCAGTCCGGGAGTCTAGGTCAGGACTAGTCCATCCTCCCACCACTACCTCCCCTGCCCGCAGATCCACCTGGGGTCTGGTTAGATCCCAACCCCTTTGTCTCCTCTCTCTCTCGAGAGAGCTTTCCTCAGTGGTGTTCCACACTTTTCCAGGGCTCCCCACCCCAACCTAGGAGGAGTGCCTCGTGAGGACAAGCTGGTGTTCTGAGCCTTCCCACAGTCAGAAGAAACTAACAATGAATTAATGAATGACTGTATCTCAGGGCACCCACCGCGTGGGCCCAGACAGGAAGGTGTCCGTGTGACTGTGTGTGCCAGGGCCTGGATGTCCCTCGAGGATGCAGTCCTTTGATGCTTAGCAGGGCACTGGTCTCCAGATTTCCTTGTGAAACCACACTTCCCAGGCCTCGTCCTCTGCTCTCCTGCCTCAGTGGGACTGGAGCCATAAAGCAGTCGAGGTTCCTGACCTGATTAGGGTCCTGGGGCCCCTTGAGAATCAGGTGAGAGCTTGTGACCACACACATCTATCTATCTATCTATCTATCTATCTATCTATCTATCTACACAAAAATAATGACCCTACCTTACCTATTGGGCATTAAACCCAGGGGAAGTGGATGGGGTTGAAGGGACTCCCGAGAGTCCAACCCTCTGCAGTTCTGCCAAGGGCCTGGTCAGCAAAAGGCACAGCCTGCTAGCCGCTCTGGGCATCTGGCCTGGATCACACGCAGCATGTCCTGGGAATCCTGCTGGGTCGGTGAGGAGAGGGCCCCAAGCAGGCAGCCCACCCCACCGTGGGCATGAGCTGTCTGACAACTGGCTCTGGGCTTCACAGTGTGTATTCTCGTAACTCATCTCCCCATCCAACCAGCCGGAATTTCACCACCATTCTTTCCTGTCTGAGAAACCAGCTCCCTTGACCTAACTTCCACCCCTCCTAAATTCAGGGCTCCAAGCCCCACCTCTCTTGGTGTATTTTAGAAAGACCCAAGGCAGCAAGGGTAACACTGTGGTGCCCACTCTGTGCGTGGCACCAGCCTGGGCAGTTTCTGTGCCACCGTTTCTCCAGCTGAGGTCTGCAGTGTGAGTGCTGACTGCCATCTGGCACAGAAGAGTGATGCACCGAGAGTCACCTGGTGATCAAGAGGCAATGCTGCCGGTTTGGCTCAGTAGTTGGAGCATCTGCCTGCGGACCAGAGAGTCCTGAGTTCGGTTCCTGCTAGGGACACGTACCAAAAAAAAAAAGAGGCAATGCTGCGTTTCAAACTCCCACCTGGCTGGTTCCGGGAGGGTGCTCCAGGCGCGGGGAACACACGGGCTGGGCAGGCCTAGGGCCCCCAGCCACGGGCTCCTGCCGCTGGCTCTGCAGGGAGGGGCCAGGCAGGAAGGTGGTACAGTAACGGGGCATGTCCTAGCTGGGCACTGTTGCCCCATTCTGAACCTTGGTCTGCTCATCTGTAAATAGTCCGGCAGCACTTCCCTCCCGGGGGCCCTGTGGAGATTAGGTCAGAATCTGTAAGTTTGTATAATGGATTCTGGCCATATTTCTCCAGCGCAGCAGAATCTGCTTGATCCTAAACCTGTCAGCCAGTGGCCCAGATGCCAGGGCTTGTCAGGAGGAGCGTGCCAGCCCCACTGGGGTGGTGAAGGGGCCCACGGACAGGGCACAGACTGTGGCAAAAGCAGTGTCAGGGCTGTGATCAGCTCTCTACAACCCTCTGACCCCACAGCAGCCAGACCTGGGGACCACAACCCAGTCCTCCTTGGCAGTCCAGAGTGGCAGATGCAGCTGGGCCAGTCGTTTCAAGGAGGGGTTCCTGGGGGCCCTCCAAGACTTCCTTGTTGGCTGGCAGCCCCCCACCCCCGTGGTGCGAGCTCTCCCCTCCTCTCCACAGGGGGCCCAGAGCCGGCTCTTCATCCACTCATTTGCTTCCCTAGCCTTCCCGCCTGAAAGTGTTTGGTGAGCAAGGGCTCATCTGCTAGGGGAGGCAGGGAGCCCATCATCACCCGTGTGAGGAAACGGGGTGCAGCCTGTGCTGGAGGTGGGCGGTGAGCTCACAGAGCCAGCCCGTGGGGTGGAGGGTGGGGACAACGGCCCTCCATGAGCACTGAGGGACCTGGAGCTGAGTTTGGAGCCTGCGGAGGGAAGGGTGAGGGGTGGGGTGGAGTGGGGCTGAGCCCGGAGAGCAGCGCCGTGGGGTGTGGACGGTGACACCAGAGGCTCTGCTGTGGCCATCTGGGGCCGGGGCTGCGGCTGAGGAGAGCTGTGGTCCGTCAGCCTCCCGCCATGGAGCCCTGGGGCGGGCAAGTGGGATGTGGGGTGTGGGAGAGGCAGCGGGAGGAAGCAGTGATTGGAGGCTGGGAGGGGTGTTTGCTCACGGCAGCCTCGGTTGTAGAATGATGTGTCAAGAATCAGTGGATCTGTCTCTCTTTCTTACACACACACGCACACACACACACACACCCATGTCTTTGCCCCTTCGAGGCCCATCTGCCTCCCTCTCTCTCCCCCACTCTTCCTGCCTGACAGACCTACCTATTCTTCAAGACTCAGTTGGGCCAGATGGGAGCTATGTGTTTCAGAGAAAGGCAGCTGGGGACAAGGTGACAGAAGGAAGCTCCAGGCTGCCCCTAAGGCATTGCTGAGGGCACCCAGGAGGCCCAGTCATCTGTCCCCGGACCCCACTACTCACACAGCATGCTTGGCACCCACAGGTTCCATGTTTCGGAACTGCACACGGGGCGGCTGGTCAGCAGTCTTCCCCAGGCCTGACCTGGCCTGTGGGGTTAACGTGAACGACTCGGCCAACGACACCAACGAGAAGCGGGTAAGCCTGTCCACCTCCCTTCCGCCCCAGACGCAGCCCGCAGGGCGACACGTTCCTGGGATAGGACAGAGTAGGGCCAAGAACAGGTGACCTGGGGCTGCACCTCCCACCCATTTTTGTCGCACACCACTTGGGGTGTGGGGCTCAGCGGGCCTGCTTCGCTGGCCTGGTCTGCCAGCCTGGAGGTGGTGGTGATGGCGACCCCGGCACAGAGTGGACTGCCATATGCCGCCATGAGCCCGGGGTGATGTGGTCGTGAAACCAGAAGAGAAGTGATGTGGTGGCTAAATGTTCAGAGCCAGGCTGGTGAGTCTCAACCCTGACCTGTGGCCTTGGTGGGGCTGGGGAGGACTTCACTTCTCTGTGCCTCAGTTTCTTCATCAGGGAAGTGGGGTTAATAATAGTTCTAACCCCACAGGCTTGCCAAGAGAACCACATGAGCTCATCCGTGGAAGTCTTGGGAAGGGTGCCCGGCCATAGAAAGTACTCAGTCAATGTTTGCTGTCAAAGGAGAGAGCCCAGCCCCAGGGCAGTCCTGGCTGAGAGAGGGCACTGAGCTGTGGGCTGACCTCTGGGTGCTTCCTGAAGTGGCTATCAGTTTCAGAGAGCCCTTCCCTCCCATGTTTCCTGACTGACTCCTACATATCCTTCAAAACCCCACTCCAGACCATCGACTGCAGGAAGCTCTTTCTCTCTCTCTTTCTTCTTTCTTTCTTTCTTTCTTTCTTTCTTTCTTTCTTTCTTTCTTTCTTTCTCTCTCTCTTCTCTCTCTCTCTCTTTCTCTCTCTCTCTCTTTCTTCTTTCTTTCTTTCTTTCTTTCTTTCTTTCTTTCTTTCTTTCTTTCTTTGTGGTACATGCCCCTAGCGGGAACCGAACCCGAGACTCTCTGGTCTGCAGGCCAATGCTCAACCACTGAGCCAAACTGGCCAGGGCAGGAAGCTCTTTCTTCCTGTTCCCCAGGAAGGGCTCCCTGAATACTGTGTTAGCCTCCAGCTGTTAGCTACCTTATTATACGAAATCATCAGTGCCATGGACATCCATCTCTCACTAACATATGAGCTGCTCAAATTCACTCAACAAATGTTTATTGAGCATCTACTATGAGCAAGACACGGATCTAAGCATGGAAATACAGCAGTGACAAATCAGAGTCATTTCCAGACCCCCATGGCCCAGCACAATGCCTGGCACCTATAAGGTACCCAATACATGTTCATTGTTGAACCGAACATCTACCACATGCCAGCTGCTTAATGCACAATTGCATTCAATTCTCAAGAGTATTCAGTGTAAGTTCATTATTTTCTCCATTTTGCAGATGAAGAAACTGAAGCTCAAAGGGGTTAAGGAAAATGCTTAGAAAGCAATGGAGGCAGATGTCAAAGAGATATCTGTACCCCCATGTTTATTGTAGAATTACGAGTAATATGCAAGACATGGAAACATCCTAAGTATCCATCTAGAGATGAATGGATAAATAAAATGAGGTACACATATGCAATGGGATATTGCTCAGCTATAAAAAAGAAGAAAACCTTGCCATTTACAACAACAATGACCGTGAGGGTGTTATGCTAAGTGAAATAAGTCAGACAAAGAAAGGCAAATACTGTATAATCTCACTTATATGTGGAATCTTAAAATACCAAAACCAAACTCATAGCAAGAGATCAGATTTGTGGTTACTGGAGGTGGGGATGGGGAAGAATTGGACGAGGAGGGAAGAGATAAACCACAGAACTTACATGCATGTATGCATAAACATGGACAGAAACAACAATGCTGGGGGGGGATGGGGAGAAGGGGGTCAGTGGGGGAAAAAGGAGAAACATCTGTAACAAAAATAAATTAATAAAAAAATTAAAAATTTGCCCTGGCCAGTTTGGCTCAGCGGTTAGAGCGTCGGCCTGCGGTCCGGAGAGAACCGGGTTCGGTTCCCGCTAAGGGCACATACTTCGGTTGCAGTTTGTCCCCGACCCTGGTTGGTCGTGCGGTGGCAGACACTCGATGTGTCCCTTTCACATCGATGTTTCTCTCTCTCTATCTCTTCCTCTCTCTCCCTCCCACTCTATCTGTACAAAAAATGGAAAAATGTCCTCGGGTGAGGATAAAAAAAAAAAAAAAAAAAAAAAAATTAAAAAAAGAATTGGATGAAGGAAGTCAAAGATACAAAATTTCAGTTATAAGTGCCAGGGATATAATGTACAACGTGATTCCTATAGTAACACTGCTGCACCATATTTATGAAAGCTGCTAAGAGTAAATCCTGAGAGTTCTCATCACAAGGAAAAACACCATTTTTTTCTTTTGTATCTATGTGAAATGATGGCTGTTAACTAAACTGGTGGGATAATTTCACAGTATGTGTACGCTAAGTCCTTATGCTGTATACCTTAAACTTATACAGTGATGTGTGTCAATTATATCTCAATAAAACTGGTAAACTCAAGGGAAAAAAAAGAAGAAAATCGTGGAGGCAGAATTCAAACCAAAAAGAGCCAGCGCACCTGCTGTCTCCTGCCGCTGCCCCATCAAGGTGTGTGCGCCTGGAGAGGTGCTGTCAGCAGTCCCGTGAGCTAGACTCCCCAGGAGGACAGCGATGGGCAAGCTGGCATCTCCTTTGGGGGGTGGAATGGGGTCATGTTAGAGAACAATGAAGGGGAGCAACAGAATTAAGAAGAGAAGATGAAGCTGGGCGGCAGCCCACCCTCCCTTCTGAATTTTTTCTAAGACTCTTTTATAGCCAACAAGTCTTGCTCTGTATGAAGGAGTTTGATTGGGGGGTAGAGTTTCTTTCCTTCCAGGGCTTGCCATCCAGTTGGAGAAAATACATGAATGAGGTCTTCAGATCTGGCCAGAGTGGGTTAATTTAATCACGGACTCAACAAGAAATAACCAGTGGATACACACGGTCTTGGAGGGGCGATGGGTAGGCTCTGACCTCTTAAGGTTACCATTGTCATCGACTCAGACGAAGGCAGGGGCTTTTGTATATCACATTTGTAAACTCCATAAAATTAAGAGGAAACATTTTATGATGGGTGGAAGGCTCGAGGTTCAAAAGGGTGCTTTGGGCTGCAAATGACAGACATTTCCAACTAGCTGAATAAGCAAATTTGACTCATGGACTTGAGGGGGCAGAGAACAGTGTCAGGACTATGAAGCAACACTGCAAAGCTGCCAAGGACTAGGTTCTTGCTATCTCTCCTCCTGCTACCTGGTGCTTCTCTCTCATTGGACGATGACTGCCCTTACCGACTGCAGCCACAGCCGGCCCCATGCCTGCTAGTCCGGGAGGAGAAACAGCCTGACCTCCTTCCTAAGAGCAAGAGAGCATTTTACCCCACCCCCAGCAAGCCTGTCCAAACACCTCATTGGCCCAAAGTGAACCTGCCCACACTGGACCATCCCTGGCAGAGCGCTGGGGTACATGATTGGCTTATACCAGTGGCTCTCACACTTTTTAGCTTTGGGACCTTTTTACACTTATATTTTATTTTTCCCTTTTTTAAATTCACACTGGTTGTCTATTGTAGTATTGGCTGCTGTCATTTTTTTGTTTGACAATCTAAGGCAAAAAAGGGCAGTGCCCCTGACTAAATAGTCAGGTATTGCATGTTAAAAATTTTTTTATTGAATTTATTGGGGTGACATTGGTTAATAAAATTATCTAAGTATCAGGTACACAATTTGATGATAAGTCATCTGTATATAGTATTATATGCTCACCACCCCAAGCAAATCTCTTTCCATCACCGTATATCCCCCCATCTCCTCTTCTACCTCCTCCCACCCCCTTCTCCCTCTGCTAATCACCACACCGTTGTCTATGTCTGTGAGGATTTTTGTTTGTTTGTTTGTTTCTGCCTAATCCTTTCACCTTTTTCACCCAGCCCCACAACCTCCTTCGCTCTGACAGCGTCAGTCTGTTCGCTAGGCATTGCATGTTTTACAGGTTCTTGTGGTGCACCGGTTGAAAATCACTGATCCAGAGTCTCAATCTGTTAGGATATTAGTAATATTAACGTATTCATTTTTAACCAATATCATAGTATATATCTCTTGTATAAAGGTAAAGTTGTATAATGATTCAACTTATTCAGGGTATAAAAAGACGAAAACAGATGAGAATGAAAGTAAAAATTCTCATCTAGGTGTCTGTAAGACACTATTATGTGTTATACAAGATTAGGTTTTATTTTCAGACAAGTCTGATACCTTCAGCACTGTTTAGCAAATAAAATATTTTACTACAAGTAACTTTCTAGTGTAGCTAAATTATTATTTGATATATAGTCAATAAACATTTATATATATTTGATATTTACATATACCTTTAAAAATTTATAGGAAGAGACCTTTAATATTACATTTATAATGTTTAACTTCCCTCCACTCTCACTCCTCCTACCTTTTTACACTTTTCAAAATTATTAAGGACCCCCAAAGAACTTTTATTTTTGTGAGTTATATCTATCAAAACCACACATGAGAATCAGCTGGGAAAGAATGAGCCCAGGGCCCTAACTAACCTTGATATTCATGGCAAGGTCAAAACTGTGAAATCCTGAGATAAGGAGCTGAAAATTAACTAAAATAAATGCAAAATTTGGACTTACCTCAGAAAATTATTGTCCAAAAATAGTGGAAAGAAAACCTACCTAGGCTTCAGCTCACATTTAAAAAATTAAGAAGTCTCACCCTTGCCAGTGTGACACAGTAGGTTGGGCATTGTCCTGTATACTGAAGGGATGCTGGTTTGAATTCAGGTCAGGGTACATGCCCGGTACAGACTTGATCCCCAGTAGGGGGCGTGCAAGAGGCAGTTGATGGATGGTTCTCATAGATGTTTCTGTCTCTCTCCTCTCCCTTCCTCTCTCTCTAAGAAAAAAAGATCAATAAGAAAAAAATATATATATATATTTTTTTTTAATTAAGAAGTCCCTAAGATTGGAAGGGTTTCAGACCATGTGATTCACATTGGTCCTTAAATGCTGGTCCACAAATTGGCACAAGCTTTGTCTTTTATTCTGAGATTTGAATCGTTCTATCTATTTTTTTATTAAAAAAATTATTTATTGATTGATTGATTTTTTTAGAGAGAGAGGAAAGGAGAAGGAGAGAGAGATAAAAACATCAATTGGCTGCCTCCTGTATGCCCCCCACTGAGGATCAGGCCCACAACCTGGGCATGTGCCCTGACAGGGAATCGAACCAGCGACCATGGGTCGATGCTCAACCACTGAGCCACACCAGCCAGGAGAATTATCCTATTTATTATTGTTGATTTTTTTTTCTTTTAATCAAATAATGCTGAAAGTCTGAATTTGCTGGTTTTCTTTTAAATTCCTTACTTGGCATATTCCTCTCTATTATTGACAAATATTATTGAGAAAGTGGACTCAAATTGGCAAAGAGACCAAGGCAAAGATGCCACTTGAGTAAATAAAATGGGGTTAGCTTACCTACAGTAGAAGTTGGCCCACAACCTACTTTTACAAATAAAGTTTTATTGAAACACAGTCATGCCCATTTGCACTATAAGAGTTGGAAAAGAGATTTTATGTCACCCAAAGCCTAAAATAGTTACTATCTGCCCTTTATGGAAAAAGTCTGGTGACCCCAATCTAAAGGATACAGAAGGAAGGTGGCCTGGTCAGGATACAAAGCAGAGATAGGTAACTGGACCCCTGATAGACAACAGTGAGGCTCCTGGACCCCGAGTCCTCTGGGGAGGTGCACAGTTGCAGTCACCAAGGGCAGGGGCACTGAAGTTGCATCAGCCTTCTGGGAACAGGGTTCTTTCTGGGTCAGACCTTAAAGACACTGGGCAGACCCAGGTCTGCATGAGAGCTGGCGCATGTGTCCTGAGGGTCAGATGTCAGACAATGACCTCAGCCACAGGACAATACAGAATGTTCGGCCTACACACTCTATACTCTCACCTGAGCCTCCATAGGCTGGTCCAAACTGCTCCTGAGGGCTGCAAAGCCAGGTGTCCCCTGGAGAGAGGCCAGCACCCTCAACCATGGGGTTCATATTGTTCCTCCAATATCTTGACATTTCACTGCTCTTTGGTGTCCCAAAGTCTAAGAACCATTTATCTGATGCAACCTCCTGCCCTCTTGGCTCTCTGCCTCGTGCCTGTAAAGTAGTTCCTGGCGCCCGGGACTGCAGGGACATCAGCGGGGAAGCTCAGTGTCACAAGGCAACCATCTTACCAAAGGTTATCTTTTGCTGTCAGAAAATTTTTGGTTACTCTGAGTCAAATCTACGTTTTGGTAATGACCTCCCACTGACGCTCACACATTAGGTCTAATTCTACTTCTGCATGTCAACTGACCTAAGAGTTTCCGTCCCTAAGTCTGTTTGTTTTTTCCTCTGGGGTAATGTACCCAGTTTATTCATGCACTCTTAAGGTGACACAATCGGCCTTCTCTGGAAACGCTCCAGCTAATAATGTTCCTCTTAAAATAACGTGCCCAGAACTGGACCAAATCCTCCCAACATCCCAACGTGGCCGGCTGCCCCACTGCACTCCATCGTGTAACCGAGAGAAGGCGTGGTTTTCCTAGAGCTGCCTCACACCTTGTACTTCATACCACAGGCTCACACAGCAGTTTCACACTGCTGACTCACATTGAAGGGTGCATGATGGAGGTGGAGGGTGGAGGTGGGGAAAATTAACATGCGCTGTGTGTCTTCTAAGAGCCAGCCGTTGTCTAGATACTCTACCCAATACCTTATTTGTTCTTCCAACAAGACTGCAAGGTAGATATTATCCCCATTTTGCAGATGAGGAATCTGAGGCTCAGAGAAGTTAAGTAATTTTCTCAAGGTGACAGGCTGGTGAGTAACAGTCTGGGTTTGGAACCCTTGTCTCTTGGCTCTGAAGCCTGTTTTTTTCCGTGGTTCACTTCCCTGACACCACGAAGCTCTGGCCATTCTGACCTCAAGTCACTTCCACACAGAAAGCTGCCAGCCAGCTGGGTTTCCCCAGTACTATCCCTGTGCCTGTCTTCTTTTCAGATTAATTACCCCTTTCTTCTGGTTATCAAGTGTTACTTCCCCACTGTCGAAAAATGAAAGGTGTAGAAAAATACATGTGAAAATAACAACACTATCCACAAACTTATCATCCCAAGCTAGCCATTATTAACATTTTACCATATGTTCTTACAATCTTGTTTTTATGCATGTATGAGATTGGACTACATAAAATATGGCCCATATGTACTCCTTTTTGACCTACAAAAAGGGGCAATTTTATATAATTCGACCTAACACTCCACACACGGAGCGGGAACCGCACTGGAACGCGAAGTTGGTGTTCTGACTTTCACCTCCCGTTACGTTCTTAGCGTGCCCCGGCGTCTGCAGGCTCTTGGTGAGCAGCATTTGAATGGTGGCTTAATATTAAAGTATATGGATTTAAAATAATTTAGTTAACTATTCTTCTATCGTTGGACATGTGAACGTTTTTCATCACAAATAGTTCTGTGATAGACATCTTTGTATATAAATATGCTTTTATATTTCTAGTTAGTTCTTAGGATTAATTCCTGGAGATATGCTGGGGGTGAGGGTCAAAGGAATGCCCGTTTCTAAGGTTCTTAATCCCTGTTACTTTTCAGAGAGATTGAACCAATTTTCACTCCCACTATACCCTCACCTGCATAGAATAGGATTCGTTTCAAATATTTGTTAATTCGGTTGGTTAAAAAATGGTATAGCATTATTGTTTTAATTTTCATTTCCTTGATTCTTTTAAAGACTGTCATACAACTTATTTTTGAACCTAAATGCAGGTCTTTATATGTCCAATAATTCTATTCCATTGAGATCTTTTTGAATCAAAGATGAAGCAACAGTGTGAAGTGGCTGCTGAACTAGCAAGTGCCTGCTTGGCCACGTTCATAGGAGTGCAGCGTGCAGGTCAGGGAGGCCGGGTTCCGCTCTACTTCCTCCTGGAAAGAGGACGCGTCGGGAGCCTTTCGGCTCTCCAGTTCTGGATATTTTATTTAAGAAGGGCATCGACTAATTAAAGCATATTAATTGAGCAAAATGGTGAATGCTGTGGAAAGAGATTAAAGAGCCCGGCTGGTGTGGCTCAGTGGTTGAGTGTCAACCCATGCACCAAGAGGTCGCAGGTTCAATTCACAGTCAGGGCACATGCCCAGGTTGTGGGCCCGATCCCCAGCGGGGGGTATGCAGCAGGCGGCCAATGGCTGTTCTCTCTCATTGATGTTTCCATCTCTCTCTCCCTCTCCCTTCCACTGTCTCTCAAAAAAAAAAAAAAATTAGAAAGAGATTAAAGACACAGGGAGCATGCAACGCTGAGAAGATCAGTGAGGGACAAATTGTCGGAACAGCTGTGTTAAAAGTGACAGACCTCTCTGTAAGATCTTCTTAACTTGTTTATAAGTGTCAAACTATTCTAAAATTAAAAGTTTATTTTAAAAAATAAAGACAGATCTTAAGTACGAGACAAATTTAGTTTATTCTAAATGGTTCCTAAAATAAAAAGGACCAATAAGTGCAATTTATTTATTTATTTTTATTCTCACCCAAGGACATTTTTCCATTTATCTTCAGATAGAGCGGGAGGGAGAGAAGGAGGAAGAGAGAGAGAAACATCGATGTGAGAGAGACACATTGAGTGGTCGCCACCCACACGACCCCAACCGGGGCCAGGGACAAACTGCAACCGAGATACATGCCCTTAGCGGGAACCGAACCCGGGACTCTCTGGTCCATGGGCTGACACTCTAACCGCTGGGCCAAACCAGCCAAGGCCAATAAGTGCAATTTTAAAGGTAGTATGTTTTAGCTTAACATGACAAAAAATATCTGGTACTGCTGTGTACCAGATGACTTCCTTGAAAGTCAGTAAGCACCTCGTGCCCGGAAGTATTCAAGCAGAGCCTTTAATTCAGGGTGATGTAAGAGAGATAAGTTTGGGTTGGCATCAGATGACCCCCCTAGACCTTTTCCAAAGCCAAGATGTTATGAGTCTATGAATTGGTCATGAACCACACAGCAGTCTGAGTGGAAGGGGGTTCAAGCAGCCTGAAGCAGGTACGTAAAGTCTGAGGCAGAGCAGTGCAGAGCCAGCCAGGGGGCGGGTGGGCTGACACATGCCTCTCTCTGCAGCACGAGTACCTGCTGAAGCTGAAGGTCATGTACACCGTGGGCTATAGCTCCTCCCTGGTGATGCTCCTGGTCGCCCTCAGCATCCTCTGTTCCTTCCGGTGAGAACACACTGCCAGCTCTCCATCTCCCCAGCTTTCCCTGGACACAGGCTGCATCTCTTCTAACTGCTCAGGCCAGAGGAGGAAGGGCTGGGTGGGCCACTTTGTCACCTCGCGATCTAAAGCTGACCTGTGACAGGAGGTCCTGTGACTGAACTTCCTGTAACGTTCCTGTGACCTTGCTCATTCCTTTATTCACTCAGCATTTACTGAGCATTACTAAGAACTTACCACACCAGTGGCTTCCCACGATTCTGTGAGAAAGGTATCATTACCCCACATTTTACAGGTGTATTAGCCAGACTTTTGGTTGCAAGAAACAGAAGTCCACCTTGAAACAGCTTAGGAAAAACAAAGGTGACCTGGCCCACATAAATGACAGGTTCAAGGGCATCTGGCTGAATCTAGGTTTGTCTCCCTCCAGTTTTCCTCTTGCATTGGCCTCATCCTCAGGTAGGCTTTCTGCAGGGCAGGCGGAGACAGCCACCAGCCTCTGCAGGGGTGCGCGGTACCAGTTCTGCAACACCAGAGCAAAGAAAGCCTCTTCCCCACTAATTGCAGTGAAAGTCCTGGGGGAATTCTCATAGGCTCAGCTTGGGTCACATGCCCAACCCTGAGCCAATCACTGTGGCCAGGGTTGGAGAGCTCTAATTGGTCAGGTGTGTCATGAAGTTGGGAGGGCGGAATCTAACCCATCCAGACCTGGAATGGGTACACCGCAGGAAAACCTGGTTCTGGTACCTGAAGAACAGAAACAAGTAACAGACAGGCTAGCTCAGGTCACAACCAACAAGTGGCAGAGGCTGGGTGTGATTTCTCTCTGAAGCTGTGTTCTTTCTGTGCTGCTGCCTCTGGACCCCCCCCCCCAACAATTCTGGGAGCTAGAGATGGTAGTAGGTCAGGAAAGAATATAATGTTGCCCCTCTGATCCCCGCTTTTTTTTTTTTTAATTACAGTAGGAGACAGAATAGATTGGGCACCTCGAGGCCTGGGTTCTCATTTAGGTTGTGCTAATAGAGAGAAATGTGTCACCTGGAAAGAGCCCATGTCCAGGGCCTGGATTTCCCCTGTGCACTGAGGGAGGGGTGGGCACCGTGGCCCCTCCCAGCTCTGGCCCCTGTGGCGCTGCTTTCTCTCCCTCCAGGAGGCTCCACTGCACCCGCAACTACATCCACATGCACCTGTTTGTGTCCTTCATCCTGCGTGCCCTGTCCAACTTCATCAAGGATGCTGTGCTCTTCTCAGATGATGGTGTCCACTGCGAAACCCACAGGGTAACATGCCTCCGTGCCCCAGGGCGTGGCCAGTCCTGCCTGCCTGCCCCAGCCTAACGGTGGAGAGGGTGGTAGCCCAGTTGTCCTTGCCCAGAGTCCCTGCTGGGGCTGCATTTAATGCCTGTGGTAAAGGGGCAGCACTGGGGCTGGGGCTGGAGGTTCGGGGAAAGCTCCACGTCCCCACAGGACAGGCTGGGTCATGTTGAGATCAGTTTGTTGGGAAGCCACTGGGGGGCTGCCACTCAACTCCCAGTGTCCGGGGGTGGATTAGCCACTCTGAGATTTAGATAAAAACAAGGCTCTTCTTTTCCCTACTCCTGCCAAGTCCCGGCTGTAGACAGATGGCCAAGTCTAGAGAGGGCGGGGTTGGTTGTAGAAAGAAAAGGGTGAGCACATGCCTGTATGTCTACACACACAAGTGTGCAGTAAAACAATCACGTTTTGTTCACTGACCCCCTTTCTCATTCTGGATGCTCAGAGGAGTCCTAATTCATTGTAACGTCACTTTGTGTCTGTTGTAATCCCCTTTGGGGCACATAACAGAAAACTGTACATCAGTGGCTTAAACAGAGGAATTTCCCACCTAAGCAGTCCGTAGATGGGCAATCCAGAGGCGGCACGTAGCTCCCCGACGCCATGAGGACACAGTGCTTTTCCCTCTCTCTGCTCTGCCATTCGGGATCCCATGTTTACACCATGTTTGTGAAGTAGCTCCTGCAACTCCGGGCCTCACATCCATGTTCCGGACAAGGAGTTAAGTAGAAGGTTAAACAGTTTTTGTCTTTGGGAAACTTAGACTTTTCATTTGGGAAAGAATATTCTCCCAAAGACTCCTACCTGCCCCTTATTGACTAGAACTGGGTCATGTGACCAGACTTAACTGCAAAGGAAGCTGGGAGATTGAGTTTTTTCCTAGTGTAGTCTCCAAAGCAGAGGCAAGGGAGGGAGAAGGGGACTGGAAATTAAGATGGATTCAGTCACCTGTCTGCCACTTTCCACCACTCACATCTGGAAATCCTATTGACCTGTTAAGTTTGTGTTTATAATTTGTGTGTGTGTGTTTTCTGACTCAAACTGAGAGGTCCCTAAAGTAGGGCCATGCCGCTCAGGGGGGTCATCAGGGAGGATGAAGTAACAGTACCAGATTGGGGTCAGGAGACTTAAGGTCAGGCCCCATCAGTGAGCGGTGGTGGAGAAGTCCAGCAGTGCCCAGCAGGGAACCTTCTTGGATTCACTAACCTCAGACTTTCCAGCCAACCATGGACCACACTTGGAATCTGAGTCTCTGGGAGGCGGGCGGGAGGGAGCCACAGGTGGCCAGCAGTGCAGCAGGGGATGTGACCTTGCAACAGTCCCTAGGGGACAGCTCGGTGAGAGGAAAGGGGACCCTCATGGGGCAAGAATGGGAGCCATACTGACATAGAATGGGAGCCATGCTGGCATAGAAGCCCCGCAGTCCCACAAGCATAGCTTCCAGGGATCCCTGCAAGGGACATGCTTGTTGTAAGAGTCACTGCATTGAGCAAGGCCGACACTGTGGCATCTGACCAGGTGTGTAGAAGTCCCCAGTCCAGATACAGTGCACCAGTCAGGGGCCATTTTCACTATAATCAATGCTGCCTCCTACTGTAGTTGGTATGTCCCTTCTTCATCTGTTTTCAGGGAAACTGAGCTTGGAAAGGATTTTAACTCCTTGCTCAGATATGCCTTTTCCTCTCCAGGCCTCAGTTTCCTCACCGGGAAAATGAGGGAGTTGGGAGTCGGGCACACCTGACACAACTTGACAGCTGGCAGCCGTTCCAGAAGCAGGGCATTCCTGCCTGTGTGCAGCCCTGTTGGCTGCGCCGCGGGCTGTGGGCTTGCACTCTCCAGAGAACTCCATGGGCCTCGTCTTCGGGCAGGGGATGGCCACGGAGCCCAGAGTCCACTCTGTGGCCTGGCCCCTGCCCCCTAGCACTGTCCCTTTCTCGGAGGCTGGCCACCAGAGGGAAGCCCTGTCACCCATCCTGGGACTCATCGGTCTCTCTCTGTGCAGGCGGGCTGTAAGCTGGTCATGGTCTTCTTCCAGTACTGCATCATGGCCAACTACGCCTGGCTGCTGGCCGAGGGCCTCTACCTTCACACGCTCCTCGCCGTCTCCTTCTTCTCAGAAAGGAAGTGCCTCCAGGGATGTGTCGCCCTCGGATGGGGTACGTTTCTCCAGCGGTAGACGGGCTGAGTGGATGTGGGAAAGGGCGCTGAGTCTGAAGAATTTGGTTTCTAGTTCCAGCTCCACATGTAAAGTGAGTTAACTCGTGTAATCTTGGATAAATTACTTGCTGTTTAATTATCTGGCCTTAGTTTATTTATCTCTCAAATGGGAAATATTAGCTGAAATTTAGCCCCAATTTCTGGCACCCAAAGCCTTTTGCAGTTTGATATCACCCCACACTTGTTCCTTAGATATTCCATTTATAGGTCCCCACTTTTGCTTCCTTTCAGTATCAGTGAGGTTGCTTTTGACTGTAGATATTATAAAATCTGGCTATAAACATAAAAATAAATGAATTGGCTCATATAACTGAAGAGCCCAGGGACCACTGACTTCAGGCGAGGCTGACTTCAGCAGCTTAGTGTTTCCTTCTGTTCCTGCTTTGCGTTCTGCTGGTGTTCCAGTGTCTCCGCCAGCAGCTTCTGGGCTGCTGGCTTCCTCGTTACACCTAATGAGAGAGAGAAAGAGGCTGTGTCCTAGCGTTCCCAGCAAGTATTCTGAGGTTTGCTCTGATTGGACCAGTGTAAGTCTCATACACATCCTTGAACCAATCACAGAGACCTGAGGGAATGGAATACACTGATTGGCTGGAGCTACTCAAATCACATGGCTTCCCAGAGGAAATCAGGATTCATTTTCTAGGGAGGAGGAAAATGGTAGCAAGACAACCAACTGCAGGCCCCATTACATCTCTTTCAACTTTCCTTTCTAGTCAGTGAGAATAACAACTCCCATTTCTTGAGCACTTACTATGTGCCAAACATTGAGCTCAGCACTTCCCCTGCATTATTTTATTATCACAACCTTCAGAGTCCTTTCGAAGAAACCTTGGCCAGAGACATGACATAATACACTAAATTCACACTGTAGACAAGGGCAGACCCAGGATTCAAACCTTGGCCTATTTTGTTTTATTAATCCTCTTTTTCACTGATTTCTAGGTAGAGTGGAAGCGAGAAAGAGAGAGAGAAAAACATAGATCTGAGAGAAACACATCGATGAGTTGCCTCCTTCATGACCCCGATGGGGGCTGGGGATCGAACCTGCAATCCAGGTACATGCTCTTGACAGGAAATTGATCCCAAGACCCTTCAGTCTGCAGGCCAATGCTCTAACCACTGATCAAAACCAGCCAGAGCCCATGGCCTGTTTTTAAAGCCCTTTAACTTCTATTCTGCCATTAACAGACACCCATTTATCCATCCATCCATCCATCCATCCATCCATCCATCCATCCATCCATCCATCCATCGATGTATCAATTGTTCATTTAATAAACATATGTAAGTTACCTACTATGTTCTGGACAGAAAGCCAGGTTCCTAGGGTGACTCATAGGCTTACAAGGATTGTCATGTGTACCAGCCACTAACTTCTTCTTCTTGCTTTTAATTACGAAGTGCCCCTACCAGGAATGCCCTACACTTCTTTTCTGCTTGTCTGAATCCCTCATGTAAGGGCTCTCCCTCCTTGTCAGACCATCAGGGAAGCCACCTGAGCTGGCAGAGTTGGCTCAGCCCACCTGCTTCTGAACTCTGGCAGCCTGGTTAGTACATGATGCTTGCCAGCAGGAGCTGTAGGCTCTGCAGGTCTCTGAATATCTACAGAGGCTGGTAGTCCCAGAGTGCCGGGGGACCCAGGCCAGGGCACCCTGACTCTGCCAAAAGAGCACTCATCTTGGAGCCCAACTCAATGAACCTTAAATCCAGATCTGCTGCCTTGGCCAGATTGGCTCAGCAGTTGGAGCATTGGCCTGTGGTCCAGAGAGACGCGGGTTTGGTTCCCGCTAAGGGCACGTACCTCGGTTGCAGTTTGTCCCCGGCCCTGGTTGGGTTGTATGGGTGGCAGCCCCTCGATGTGTCCCTGTCACGTCGATGTTTCTCTCTCTCTCTCTCTCTCTCTCTCTCTCTCTCTCTCTCTCTCTCTCTCTTCCTCTCTCTCCCTTCTACTCTATCTGAACAAAAAATGGAAAAATGTTCTCGGGTGAGGATAAAAAAAAAAATCCAGATCTGCTGGGATTTCACTGTATGAACATGGACAGTTTCATCCTCTGTGACATCAGGATCATAAATTGTTTGTTTGTTTGTTTTGTTTTGTTTTGTTTTTGGTACGTGCCCCTAGCAGGAACCGAACCCATGACTCTGGTCCGCAGGCCAGTGCTCCAACGGCTGAGCCAAACCAGCCAGGGAAGGATCATAATTTATTCAAGTTTCTTCAAGCACTCCTCTGTTCTCAGAGGGGCTTATAGAGACTACAGAATGGAAACAAAACCAGTTCCATCACCCAAAGGGTTTGTCTTCTACCAAGAAGACAAAATTGCATTGTGATACCTCTCACAGGTTTCTAGGAAGTTTAAATGAGATCATGAGAGCCTTCCTTTTTTTCTCAAATATTTAGTGAGCATCTACTATGTGACAGGGCTTAGGGATAGAGCAGCACAGGAAACAGGAGCAGCCGTTCCCTCCGCCCTCCCTCTGCGAGGTGTCTTTCTCCTGCAGAAGCAGCGGCCCCGCCTCAGTGTGCACTCAGCTCGTTTCCACAGAGATCCAAGGTGCCCACCGGAAAACTTCACAAAAGAATTGTTTTACGTAGAAAAAAATGACCCTAGTCCCATGTATTAAACATTTTCTGGGATTTTTCTTCCAAACTGTCCTTCCTTTCCCCAGTATGCCCCACATGGTTGTGGTCATTCTATGTGCAGAATTTTGAATCTTGCTTCTTTCCATTAACACACAAGCACACTCTGTGTTCTTTCAACTCTTCCATAAACATCTTTAACTGCTCTGTGGGTGTATTTAACCAAGTAACCTGTGATTTGGACATTTAAGTTGTTTCTAATTTTTCACTTTTATACATAACATAGTGATGAATGCTTTTATGGGCAAAGCTCATTCCATGTGTAATACAGAATTCTAGAAGTGGGGCTACTGAGTCAGAAGGAATGAACACTGAAAGTTTTTAATACGATCCAAATCTTTTACAACATGGCTGGGTGTCAGTCTGTACCCAGAGAAGGGTAATACCTCTGGTTTTTACGGGCATGAACCAAGCTCCCTCACCAGTGAACTTAAGCTGGTGGTTCTGCAGCTGGGGCTGGCATCAGAATCACATGGAGGGCATGCTGAAGGGGTTCAGAACAGGCTCCCCAAGATGTGCCCCTTTGGCATGTGGATTATTTTGAGCAGGCAGTCGAGATTCTGTGGGCTCACAAGGAATTTTTACCTCTCTCATAAAGGATTTAAATTTGGGGCCTTGCCCATAATAAGAGGGCAAGGCAAACTTCTAATTACTGAACATCTGCTCATTCTGTGATCCTGCGGTGACCTTCCTCCCCTCTGAAGCTCCCAGACACCTTATCTCATCTTTGTCTCTGCTACACACACCTCATTTTTCCTTTCTGTCTCCAAACCTCTCATGTATGCAGGTTTCTGTATTATGTAATTAAACTTGGCATTTTCTCTTGTTAATCTGACTTATGTCGATTTGGTTATTAGACCAGTGGAAAGAACCAAAATGGGTAGATGAAAATTTCTTCCTTCTCTGCAGTGTCAAACCCAGCTGGCTGGGCCCCGCCCCAGAGTCTCTGAGTCAGTGGGCCAGGGGTGGAGCCTGAAACTGCATTTCTCACAGGCCCCCAGCGATCTCCACGCTGCTGGTCCAGGGACCACACTGAGAAGCCCGACTCAGGCCATTATCAGTTTTCCACTTTCCACCACCTCTCTATTAAAGATGGAAGACAATGAACTGGTGGCCCTAAAAATCCACATTCTTTGCCCAGAGCCCCCAAAATTGAGGCAGGGAATTTTTTAAATTGCTATTTTTATCAAAGTTATGCATGTTCTTGGTTTAAGGAATTAAATAGGACTACAGAATTTATAATAAAGAAAGTGGCCCTGGACGGTTTGGCCAAGCAGTTGGAGCGTCGGCCCAAGGACCAAAGAGTCGCGGGTTTGATTTCGGTCAAAGGCACGTACCTCAGGTGTGGTTTGGTCTCCAGGCCCTGGTCAGGTTCATGTGGGAGACAACCAATTGATGTGTCTCTCACATCAATGTCTCTCTCTCTCTCCCCCCCATCCCACACTATCTAAAAATAAATGGAAAAATATCCTTGGGTGAGGATTTATTTATTTATTTTAATATATTTTTATTGATTGATTGATTTTAGAGAGAGAGGAAGGACGAGGGAGGGAGAGGTAGAAACATCGATGAGAAAGAACAACTGGCTGCCTCCTGCATGCCCCCTACTGGGGATTTGGCCCACGACCTGGGCATGTGCCCTGACTGGGAATCGAACCGGCAACCTCTTGGTACCTGGGTTGATGCTCAACCAGTGAGCCATACCGGCCAGGCTCCTCAGGTGAGGGTTCAAAAAAAAAAAGCATTCTCCTGCCCCAACTTCTGTTTACCAGAGGTAACCCCCTTCAACTCTGTAACTGTTCCTCTTAAAATGTACTCTCATGCTTCTAAACAATATTCTACTATTTCTTAATTTATCCATCTGAGACGTCATTTATTGACTCCTGATGATGGAAGATAAGGGTATAAAAATTCTTCACCACCTCTATCCTACCATTAGAGTTTTCCACAGTTTTTGGTTAAATCATACTCAATGTATACATCATTTTATCTATGTCAATATTGTTTATTACTGAGCCAAATGGTGTTCAATGATTTTCTAGTATTTAACTATTTCTTTTTCATGGAGTTATTTTTAATTTATTTATTTGTTTTATGTTGCTGTATCAATTCTCCTAAATTGTCCACCAGAACTGGAAAACTGTCCAATGCTACTTTGCAAATTGTCAGATGCAGCCCCAAATCTATCCGTTCCCATTGTTTTCTTCCTACTGTCCTAGTTGCCTGGGGCTGTTGTAACAAAAGGCCACAGCTTCTGGTGGTTGCTGGCAGCCCTCGGTGTTCTCCGGCTGCAGCGGCATCGCTCCAGTTTCTGCCTCTGTCTTTATGTGGCCTTCTCCCCTCCGCGTGTCCTCTCTTTCTGTGTCTCTCGTGGCTTTCTTATACAAATGCCAATCATTTTGGTTCAGGGTCCCAATATGACTGGCATTCTTATAAATTTGACCTCATTTTAAACAATTACACCTGCAGAGACTCTATTTCCAAGTAAGGTCACATTTTCAGGTTCTAAGTAGATATGAATTTTGGGGACATACTCTTCAACCAAATATACTCACTATTAAAAAACAAAATTCAGTGGATTAAATTTGAATATCTAATTGGCGTTATTAAGGGATTCAAAATGGAAGGTTTTTATAGACAGAAAGAGCATAGGCGAGAAAGTTAAGAGAGAGAATTATTTCAGGAAATGTCACCTTCCCTTAAGGGAAGGCAAGGGTTTTATCAGGCAGCTGACCTCACCGTGCTGACCAGGGGATTCCAGATGGACTGGTCTAAAATTCACTCCTGGGAGAGGCTGAAACTATAATTAGGTTAGGAATTACGTCTTGGTAGGGCCTAGCAAAAGTGACTCCATTTTGGGCTTGTTGTTTTTTTTTAACTTCACCAATGTTCTTTCTAGAGACCTCTGCCCTCCTGCTCTGTGAGACCTGGTTGTTCTCTAGATTCGTTCAACTCCCTTAACCTTTTATGCTGAGAATTTCTTCATTTTCCTCCACAAATCTTTTTCCTTTATTCTTTTTCTCCCCTTCTCCGGTTTGCTCTCTAGTTATATTGGAGCACATCCTCCAGTATCTGTCTAAAAAAGAGTTCATGGAAAGTACTTTTTTTTTCTTTTGCATTGCATATCTAACAATGTATTTGTCCAACTTTCATACCTAATTTGTAGTTTTACTGAACATAAAAATTAGATTGAAAAATCATTTTCCCTCAGGATTTTCAAGGCCTTCTGTTTTGGCATTTGGGGTTATGGGACGTGCCACGTCACTCTGTTTCTTGAGCCTTTTACTCACGTCTACATCTGAGCTGCAGGACCATCTCTCTGTCCCCTGTGTTTAAAATGTCACAGGGATGTGTCCCATGCAAGTCTGTTTTCATCCTTTTTGCTGGCCTCTGATGGTCCTTTCTTCTAGAAACTCACATTCTTCATTTCTTAGACAATGTTCTTACATTATCTATTTGATTTTTTTTGCCCCTGGTTTTTATCCTCTTACTGGAACTTTTCATCAGATAGTACACAACCTGGACTCAACTTCTACATTCCTCGTTGTTCTTCCTGCTTTCAGGCAGGTCCTGGTCTTTATCTTCCAACCCATCCGTAAGAAATGTTTAAGGCTGGTTATCCTGTTTTCAGTTTCTGGGCCCTCTTCCTTGTGCCTGAATGCTCCGTGTCCGCATCCTGTTTGTGTGCTGCAGACGGGACCTGCCATCCCTCTGATGCCAGTCCTTAGAGTTGTTTTGTTCAGGGTCCTCCTGCAGCCTATATGGTCTGTTTCCTTTTAGTTCCTTTTCTCTGATTGTTTTAGTCCTCGTCTGTTATGTAATCAGCTTTCCCAGATGTCAGTGACCTTGGCTTTTCATATTTAAGTGTGAGTCACTTCAGAGCTGACTGAAGGCCCTGTGTATGGGGGCATATGTCTCAAAGGAGACTGGGCTGGAAGTGGCCGCTGTCTTGGAGGGTTGCCAGCATTGCCATCTATAGGCCCTTTGTCTGGGGCTCTTTGGTTCCTCCAGAGAAGAATCCTTTAGTCTCCTGCCCAGGGTAGAGGTGGACAGCTGGAACAAGAGTAGGAACCCGGCTGCTGGAGGTCTGGAAACTGAGCAGCCCAGGAGTGGACTCTTACCATTCAGCACATAGACAAGCAGGTCCATTAGAAATAGCATTTGAGCCTGGCTGGTGTGGCTCAGTGGTTGAGCGTCGACCCTTGCACCAAGAGGTCACAGGTTCGATTCCCAGTCAGGGCACATGCCCAGGTTGTGGGCCCGATCTCCAGTGGGGGGCATGCAGGAGGTGGCCAGTTGATGTTCTCTCTCATTGATGTTTCTATCTCTCTTTAAATCAATAAAGAAAAAAAAGAAAGAAAGAAAGAAATAGCATCTGAGCCACACGTGCAATGTAAAATTTTCTAGTAGCCACAGTAAACACAGTAAAAAAGAAATAGATAAAATTAATTTTAATAATATGCTTTATTTAACCCAACTAACCCAAATATTATTACTTTAACTTATGTAATCAATATAAAAATTGCTGAGAACATATTTTATATTCTTTTGTTTGTATTAAATCTTCAAAATATGGCACTGACCTTGCGTCTCCAGCACATCTCCGCCGGGACCAGCCCCATACCAAGTGCTCAGTAGCTTCCTGTGGCGAGGGCCACGGCCCTGGACCACAGGTGTAGACCCTCACTGCATCCCTGTCTCCTCTGCAGAGGTCCTCCAGAGGCTGGCTCGGACTCCGAGGAGACCTCAAAGCCCCTTGTGGTCTTCAGAGTCCACCTGGTCCTGCCTCCCAGGACATCCCTGGTCTCCTTGAAGCAGGAGACTAGATATTTATGCAAGATTTATTTACAAGGCGGTTTCCATGGCACTGCTCCCTCCCTGGGCTGGGGCACCTGACTGTCCTGTGTGCGTATGGAAAACTGAGTCCTCTCTCTTCTGCCCCTCCCTTTATTTTGAATCCTCAGGTTCCCCAGCCATTTTCGTTGCTTTATGGACTATCACCAGGCACTTTCTGGAAGATGTTGGGTAAGCTGTTTGAAGGAGAGGTAAAAGAGTGAATTTTGTGTTGTCCAGTTCTTCAGGCAGGATGGACACTTCTTTGGAACTATCTAGGAGAGGCCTGTTTCTCACACTGGGGGCCACAGGACAATTCTCTGGCATGCCAGGCTGCGGAGTGCCCAGCTCTCCAAGGTGTGAGTCTGCAGGTGGACTGGGGCCTTCACCTCGCCCACGCCCTCTCGGGCCTCCCTGCAGCCTGCCTGGCCGGCAGCTCTGTGGCAGGTCAGGTGCCAGCGGGAGCTTCCAGGCTCCAGGCGGGTGCTGCTCAGTGAGGACGCTCCAAGGGCCAACCCAGCTCTTCCTCTGTCCTGGGCCCTCCTCCTGCACTCCTCCGACTGCCCCTGGTGTCCGAGAGTCCTGCAGGGCCAGGCCGGAGAGAGGCGGCCATGGGCTCAGCAACTCCTGCTGGGGACAGAGACATCTGGTCTTGTTCTCTAAAGACACTGGGGAGGGAGGGGACAGCCTGGGGGTTTTCTTGGACTAGGCACCTGGAAAGAAAGCTTGAAAGAAGCCAGGGAGGAGGTGAGGCAGCATGACAAAGCAGAAGGCTGCTTCTCATTGTCCCAGCCAGGCCAGCAAGTGGACTAGGTGGATGAGGCTTAAAAGTATCTTGCAGTCCAAAATTAGCCCCAAATAATTGTTTCAAAATATTATTTTAATTGGGTGAATTCACTTTTAAAAAAATCTGGATTTTCAGCTTCTCTAGGAAAAAATCGAAAGTTCTGTTGACATTTCCCACTTTCTTCTGTTGCAAAACCAGCTGGAACAGAGTTGTGGCTGCCTTACACCAGGCGCTGACTCTCCAGTTTGCTAAGTACCCCCCCCCCCATGTCCCTGCGATCCTGAGGTCACATGTCAGTCACCCCGTCACTCACTAATGTCACCTGCCTGGCTACTGCTGGCGGTTGAGTTTGCCACTCTGCTAGCTTTGAGGTCTGGAATCTCTGCCTCCCAGTTCCACACGTTTGCTCCCCGAGACGCTCACCGGGCACAGATGGAGACAGGGCGCTCCCTCAGCCCAGTGCCCCCCACCCCCCACCCCGGGGCAGCAGGAGAGGGGCGCTTCTGGCCGTGCTGAGCACAGGGGCCGGGACCACAGGCATGGGTCCTCCATGTGCAGGGTGCCTCAGGGAATGGGTCTGTTCCGCTCCGTCCTGATGCCTGGCTGTGCCTCCATAGGTGCTGGGACATCAACGCCAACGCATCTGTCTGGTGGGTCATTCGAGGGCCTGTGATCCTCTCCATCCTGGTGAGTGGCATCCTCCCCTGAGCTGGGCTCCAGGGAGAGAGACTGGACAATGACGGGCCTATGGGGACAGAGGAGACAGGGTTAGCACCCCCCCCACACACACACACACTCCAAGTGGGAGGAATAAACCTCCGAGTTTCCAGAAGCTGGCCAGCAGCACGAATGGCTGGAAAGTCCACCCCTGGAGAATGGTGGGTGGCAGTGGGGTCAGGGACAGGCAGGAGGCCCCAAAGCTTGTATAGCTCACTTCTGTGCGTGACGAGGCCCGAGACGCGGTGAGCAGAGCCCCTTGCCCTACACTGGCGGGCTCCGTGTTGGCCTCAGCTCCACCTTCACTGGTTCCTATCTTGGGTGTCGATCACTTTATAAGTATCTTCTTGTCAAATGGAGAAGAATCACTGAGCGAGGATCATGGGGGGGGGGGGGCTGGGTTGTGGCTGGGGAACCTGAGTGAGGCTGCGGCCTTCGGCCTGGGCATCACCTTAACTCTAAGCTCCCGTAACCCGTGGACCAGACAACAGTGCGGTGAAGGCTGGGGGTGGGGAGGTGGGAGTGGGGGAGGGGGAGAAATGGGGAAACATTTGTAATACTTTTAACAATAAAGATAAATTTCAAAAAACTAAAATACATTAAAGGGGAAAAAAAGTTCCTATAGGTGCTTCTGCTGAGCCTATGGACATAGGCAAGAATATAGGGACAGAGGAAGGAATTCACATGGGGACGTGGTGGGTTGTCTCGTAGACTGAATCAGCCCCTCAGCTGTCACAGGGCTCAGAGGGACGCCAAGGCTGTGGGACCAGCTGACAGAAAGTGCCTTCCATGGCCTCGCTGGAGTGGGGAGCGTGCAAGGACTGGGCGGCAGCCCTCCTCTGCCACTGGCTGGCCGGGCGACCTCCGGGCCACTGGCTGGCCGGGCGGCCTCCGGGCCACTGGCTGGCCGGGCGGCCTCCGGGCCACTGGCTGGCCGGGCGGCCTCTGGGCCACTGGCTGACTGGGCGACCTCCGGGGCACTGGGGTGGAGGTGGCCATCCCATGACTTCCTTCTTTAAAAAAAAAATTGGAAGACACAAAATATATCTTTAAAAGGGAATGAAATCACCCATAAATCACCATTTAGCACCTAGATACACATTGTGAATACATGTGCTTTTCCCTCTTATCTTTTTTTATTATTGGTTGGAGAGAGGAAGAGAGAGAAAGAGACAGAGAGAGACGTCAGTTTGTTGCTCCACTTCCTCATTGGCTGATGCGTGTGTGTCCTGACCAGGGATCAAACCCATCACCTAGGCGTTTCAGGACAACACTAATCAACTGACCTACCCGGCCAGGCCTCCTTCCTATCTTTTTCTCTGAGCATACATACTTTATTCCCCAAAAAATGCTTAATATGGTTTTGTATCCTAGTTTTTTTTTTTTCCCACTTAGCAATAAATGTGAGCTCTCCCTTGATCTTTGAAGTTATTTGACCAACAAAGTGCTATGGCTGCATACTATTCCCCCAGGAGAACATTTTCTCATTTAATTAAGCCAGTTTCCTTTCTGTAAATCTGGGACTCCGACAGCCCAGCCCACTGGAGCCTAAGCTGAGGGACGACCAGCCCCGGTGTCCAGGCTGATTTCATGGGACTGTGGTCTATCGTGATTGAGGGATGTGGGGTGGGCACTCCTGATGCAAATATCTCTCTACCAGCCTGCCATGGGTCCTGGGATTCCATTATTTATTTCTCATTCTTGGGAACTGAAGTTTTATTTCTTGTGCCTATAAGTGCTTCCTATTAAATTAAACACAACTCTAAGACAAATAAAATAAAACAAAATAAAATAAGTCCAGCTGGTGTGGCTCAGTGGTTGAACGTTGACCCACGCACCAGGAGGTCGCTGGTTTGATTCCTGGCCAGGGCACATGCCCGGGTTGTGGGCCCGATCCCCAGTGGGGGCATGCAGGAGGCGGCCAATTGATGTTTCTGTCTCTCTCTTCCCCTCTCTCTAAAATCAGTAAAGAAAAATATAGCCTTTATTAGTTCACCCCATGCACGCCCAGCTCAGAGCAAGATGCGCAACACTCTGAGAAGTGGTGTTCCTGAAGAAGCAGCTGGGCTCGGAGTCCTAGACAGGCCTCTAATCAAGTGTCCTGAGGCCCCAGGCTATTTGTATGAATGAGAAAAGTGCCTGGCTGGGTGATTCCACTCATCCCTGCTTTTGTAAATAGTGCTAGAGCTGATGGGTGAGGGGGCGGGTGCTGCCATGTGGGCAATGTCATAATGGTCTGGACCCGTCACCCAGGTTGGGGGAGGGGACACCAAAGAAGTGAAGAGACTCCATCTCTGTCCTTTAGGAAGTTATTGAAATGGCAAATAAATGGATAAACATACAAGTTTGACAGATGCATGCATTTGGCCCCTATTAAATATTTCAAGTGCTCTTAGGCAGTAACTTTATCCCTAACTGCAATGACTTGGAAAGGGTGGTAATCAAGGATGGCTTCCTGGAGCTGGTGGCTGAGCTGTCAAGTGACTAGAAAGCACTGAGTTTTATGTGATCCCTATATCAGCAGCTTCAGCATCCCCTGGGAGCTTATAAAAATGCAAATTTTTGGGCCTTGCGACAGATGCAGCAATCTGCACTTGAAACTCTGAGAGCCTGTTGTAAATGTTCTACTCCAAGCGTAGTCCAAGGACCAGCTTTAGCATTCCGGGGAGCTGGTCAGAAACGCGGAATCTCAGGCCCACCTAAACCTGCATTTTAACAAGCTCCCCAGGGGTTCCAATGCCTCCAAGTATGAGGCTGCAATGAGCGGACCTTAGAGCTCCGGCAGCCCCCCCCCCCCCCGCCCAGTTTGTTTCACTGGGACGGGGGTGCAGTGACAGCTATCCTGGGGGGCATCCTGGGTATCTGCAGTGCCTTCTCTGCCTTGAGGTCGAGGAGCAAGGCCAGGGCAGGTGATGGGAAAGCAAATCACCTTTAACCCCTTTCTGCCTTGTTTTTCAGATTAATTTCATCCTTTTTATAAACATTCTAAGAATCTTGATGAGAAAACTTAGAACCCAAGAAACAAGAGGAAATGAAGTAAACCATTATAAGTAAGTGGAGAGCAAAGGCTTAGGCATGCTGAGTCAGCACGCATTTACCGAACACCAGCTGTTTACCTAACGGGTGCTAAGCACTACTGGAGATGGGGAAGGGAGAACCCTGATAGTTCAAGGAGTTTATAGGATAAATGGGGGCAGGAGGATGAGGCCATGTGAAGCCGAGACACTGCCCTGAGGGTGAGGAGATGGAAATCTCTGCAGGACCTCCAGAGACAGAGATTGCACCCTTGGGGCAAGGCTGGTGTGTGTATTTTTCAGGGGAGAAGGAGCTTAACTTGCATTAGCCCCACACTAATGACCTCAACTTAATCACCTCTTTATAGGCCCTGTTTGAAAATACAGTCCCCTTCTGAGGTCCTGCCAGGTAGAGCTTCAACTTGTGCTCAACCCATTCCGGGAGTCAGAGGCAAAGCAGTGTTCAGAGAGGCTTTCTGGGCGGTGCTTGTTCGGAGTGTTAGCGGGCTAGCAGCAGCCTGCAGTACTTGGTGCTGATTCCTTAGGATGTCTTCAGGGCAGAGGGCTCCAAAGTAGGGTGGAGCTGGGCACACAGGATACAACTGCCAGATAAGATGCAGGCGCCCACCCCCCACCCCCCACCCCCGTTCAATTTTATTTTTGGATAAACAACAAATAGATTTTTAGTACTTACACCTCCCCAAAATCTATTGTTTACCTGAAATTCAAATTAAACTGGGCATCTAAGACTTTTATTTGTTAAATTTGGTCAATCTAACCTGGAAAAAACAGGTCATCAAACAAATCAAACAAATTTATTATCAAACAAATAAAGATGCTGGTTTTGCAGACACTATATTAGAATGGCAGTCATATATGCAAATAGTTTATGAATAGTTATTTGAGTGGGTCCCTGTACTGGTAGGGTGCCTGATCAGAAGGCTTTGGCACTGGCCATGGGTTGATCCGTGCTGTATCTCGGTGATGGATACTTAAGAATTGAAAATTTACAAAATAAAAAGTAAAATCAAGAGTGTGGGGCACTGCTGCCGAGCATCCTGCAAACAGGCAGGGTGAGGGGCAGGAGGCTGCAGTGTGTCTCTGTCCTCAGGCGCCTGGCCAAGTCCACCCTCCTACTGATCCCTCTCTTCGGCGCCCACTACATCATCTTCGCCTTCTCGCCAGAGGACGCCATGGAGATCCAGCTGTTCTTTGAACTGGCCCTTGGCTCATACCAGGTAAGTTTCAGGGACTGACTGTGCCTTTAAGGTGAAGAGAGGAGCTCCCCATATCCTTAGAGACAGCGAGATCTCCCCAGAAGAGTTCAACAGCGGGTTTGGGAAGGTGCGAACTTCATTTGGCAGAGACCCAAGAGAAACAGGTGCCGGACCTCACTGTGCTGTGTGACCCCAAAGGGAACCCAAGTTCCCCACTAGTCAAAGCGGGGTGGGACATAAGACTAAAAAAATAGAGACTGATTCCAGGGAAAACGAGAGGGAACAGTACCCCTAACCTAACTGTGCAGCTCACAGTCACGGCAGCCTTGGGGGCCACGGCCGAGCCCTCAAAACGTGGGGCTGGCAGATGAGCTCTGTGGAAGGGTGTTGGAGAGAAAAATATCCTCAGATTCATACTGGGAAGTCCATAAAAATGCTCCACACCGAAAAAGCCCGAAGTGGCAACATCAGCTTGTTATTCAGAATCAGCTAAGAGAGTTCCAAGTCACGGCCTCTGAGGTGCCGGAAACGGGGCGGGTGTCAGGAGGCTGCTGTTGTTTGTGACAAGAGTCATCTGACTCTGAAACCATGTGCCTGCACAACTTATTTAAAATAAAAACCAACTTTAGAGGAAAAAAAGTGAAGGGAGAAATAACCTACCTACTAATTCAACAGATATTTTGAGGCTAAAAGTATAGTAATCATGTTTGGGCGGAAGGGGCTCCCAAATTCCCCCAACTATTTGTTTATTTACTCATAGTGTCTCCTTCCAAAAATAACATGATATGGCTTTCAAGAAAAATACACAGAGGGCAAAAAAATAAGTAGATGAGGGATCAGTGAGAAAAGAAAATAAAGCCCAAAGAGAAAAGAAAATAAAGCCCACAGAAGCAAATTCGATTAAGTCCTATAAAGATGGGAGAGATGGGTCACAAATTTGGTTTGGAGCTTCCCAGTAGCCAAAGCAAAGGCAGAAACATAATTTGTTTCAACATAATTTACAGTATCCATAGGTGAAAACAAGCTGGTGCCCAGGAGGGCTAGTGGTTGCAGGCTTTGGGGCCTGAGAGACATTTTTCCAGCGGGTGTTTCTGAAGAAGCCAGCCTGTCCTCAGCAGGGTCGACCACGCTGCAGGCCGCCTCACCAGGCCGGCCCGGCCGGAGCGGGGGCGGGTGCTCTGAGCCAGGACCACCCTTTGGTCACTCTCAGCTTCCAGGGAGGACACCTCACCGGGAACACATAATTGAGGGAAGTCTTGCCCTAAACCGTGCCTTCAGACCCCAGCTCAGGGCTGTCCTCTCGGTTCTCCTCTGAGCCTCTTTCCTGCCCAGAGTCCCGACAGCACCCCAGAGCCCCAGGGAGCCCAGCCTCTCGTGTAATCTAGGATCCTTTTCTCTGGGCAGGACACTTTCATGCCCACTGCTCCGGGAGGTGTGGGCAGGCTGGGCTCACAGTGGCTCATTTAGCAGAGGGGGGACTCCAGGTCCAGACAGATGGAAGGCCTTGGCCCGGCTGACAGTGGGCAGTAGGAAGACCCGGGTCTGGCACCCTGCGCAGATGGGGACTCCCTTGCCCTTTGGAGCTGGGGCTTGGAGCTGGGGCTGTGGACAGCGCCCTCAAGGACCATTTGGCTTTTCTCTGGGGAAATGGCTTATGGAGAGAAAAACAAGAGCACTTTCCTAATGTTTCCAAAGAAATGTTTAGAGAGAAAAGGGATCTTTAAGAGTTTTTTTTTTTTTTTAAAGAACCTTTGTTTATGTACAAATATATCATTTTGATATATTATGCATTTATATTACATATAACATATATTTTTTAAATGTGTATGTGGCACATTTCTTCCATACACAGTGGAGAGGACAGTGACTGCCGCGTAGCCATTGTGGACGCCTGTCCCCTGTCACCCCTTCCCCTGCACTTCCTCCCTCATTTGAAGCAAATCCAAGACATCGTTTTATTTCAAATGTAAATGTTTTAGTAGGTATTTCTAAAAGAACACCAATACCAAAGTTTATTAGCTCTTTCTAATTGTAGAAATAAAACTTGCTTATGAAGAAAATTTGGAAAGTAAGGAAAAGTTGAAAGAAAGAAAAATTCATTCATAATCTCAGGGCCCAGAAATGACCCGTTGCATGTGGGTGTGTTGACTTCTCAGTCTTCTATGCAGGAAGACACACACAGATGTTCCCACGGCATGTGTCATTGTGACTGTGATTTGTGGTTGTGTATCCCTTGTTTAATTCTTCGTCATTACCATGAACAATTCCCCATGTCATTTTGAATGACTGTAGAACCTCTCAAAGTTGCTGACTGTGGGAGCCTGCCTTATATGTACCTGAAACACGTCTAAACTCTCCCTCACCCAGGGCTCCTGACCTCACCTGAATGGTGAAAATGTGTCCCTGGATCCTTGGGGACCAGACAGGGGAGGCCAGGCAGCCATGGGCCCAGTGGATGGGCAGCAGCCTCAGCTGGCAGCCCGACCGAAGCGCGAGGCCAAGCACATCCTGTTCTAGTCCTGCCCAAACCCCTGTGACGGTTCACTCACCTGTGAGGGGTTCCGCCCACCTCCCTCGGAGAGCTTTGGCAAGGACTAAATGAAGCAGCTGTCCCCAGAAGCCCACAGCTGTGCGGGCCAAGCTGTGCTCAGAGCTTGTCTCACAGTCTGGCCTTCATGGCCTCTGACTGGCTCCTGGAAGTGATGCCCATTCCAACCTCCTGGGGGTCGTTCACAGCTGCTGATGTTCCCACCCCCAGATGTTCAGGTTTGGGGTGCAGAGTGAAACCTGGGCAAAGCTCCCAGGTGACTCTAACATGTAGCAAAATGTGGAAACCACTGCTTTGAGTAAGTGTTGGCCACCTCACCCCCCAAAATTGTCCCCATTCTGGGCAAGAGTCACTGATGCTTGAAATTCTAAAGCAAGTCCTTCTAGTATTGTCGCTAAGCCTTGTTAAATGCCAATACCCCAGAGTAATCGTAAGGGTTAAGCACACTATAGACAGGCTGGTTTATTGCTCTTTGGGGTCTTTTCCAATGTAGTAGGTAGCTAAGGGCAGGCCTGGAGGGGATTAGGGAAGAGGACCTGGGCCACCAAGGTCAGAGCTGTGATACCTGGGCCTCCGGGCAGGACCTGTCATGTAAGCAGACTGGCCCCAGGCGGGTCCCTGAGGAGGGAGTAGAGTATTTGCCCTACAGAGACCTTGCTCACGGTTCATGGTTCTGTGCACATCTACCAGGCTCACATCATGCATCCCAGGCTGTAATCCCTACCCTGGCAGAGCTCCGTGCCAGGACCCCAGGGGACACCATTGGGCATACAGGAGCTCCCGATACCAGGGAGGCACAGACCCCACCACGCCAGGGAACACTGGCCAGGGAGATGCACTCACCTGTCCACTGAGCAGGGAGGGCGCACCTGCCGGCTGGCCAGGACGCACACTCACACATTTATTTTTCAGTTTGAATAGTTGTCCATGTTTAAACATCTCCACATTTCCAGCTTATCTTTTTTTTTCTTTAAATATTTCTTTGGGGAAGGGGACACCCCACATAGTCAACTGAGAGAAATGTTCTTCACAGTAAAAGGTCATTGGTTTTCTTCCGCCTGCCAGGCCATGAGCGCACGGGAAGGGCTCCGCAGCCCCGGCTCCTGCCCTTGTTCTCAGCAAGTGGGCGTCTCCTGCCGCAGGCTGGGCTTCAGCCCAGGTGCTTTTCTCTCTGGTTTCCTTCCTTTCCTGAGCGTTTTCCTTCGCGGTTCAGGAAGCTCGCTGGGCTCTCAGAGTGCTCGATATGCTCCACACGGACTTAATCTCTTTGCAAGTCCTGCCGGGCCAGGGCGCACCCTCGCTGGGTGACACTGAATGCCCCCCCAGTGTTGCCATGGGAACGTTTGTGGGTGCTCCTTTCTGAACAGGGCCCATTCCCTTGGCGTCTACAATAACACCTTTCTGGTAGATTCGCATGTATGTGGCCAAAGGAACCCCACGTTTTCTCAAAGGCCCAGAGAACACAGCGGGGGCCTCCCCGTTCCCTTTGTTAGTCACTTTGCGAATTACTGGAAGACGGCGGTTCCAGTCGAAAGGTCCGGCTGATCTTGACTATGAGCCCACTTAGGGCCCAGGGTCTACCTGGACTGGCCCAAGCCCTCCTCCTGGGGCGGGGTGCTTCGGGTACCACCACCCCGGCTTCTCCTGGAGGCCCACCCAACCCATTCCAGGGCCTTGCCTTCCCCGGGGGCCTAGTCAGCAGCCTTCACTCGAATGTTACTGACCGCGCGGGCAAGGTCTGCGCTTGGGGACAACAAACGAAAGGGACCCTGTCCTTGCCCCCAAGGAGCTTCCTGTGCCGGATGCTGCTGGCACAGCCAGGGACGGGGGGTCCAGAAGGCAGCCCCATTCCTTCTGAGGGGAGAGGGGTGAGAAGGCTCTGGAACACTTCCTGAGGGGGTGGGGAACTGGGAGCGTGGAGGGAGGCGGGCAGTGGGCACCTGCGCTGACCTCTGCCTCTGCCCCCGCAGGGCCTGGTGGTGGCCGTCCTTTACTGCTTCCTCAACGGGGAGGTGAGTGAGCTTGGCCCCGAAAGCCTGGAGGGGCTCCCCAGAGGGAGCTAGCTATGGGGTGCGGGCCGACCAGGCCCGGTGTCCTGACTTGGGCCTGTCTTCTAGGAGTCTGAATCACTTTGTGGGGGCAACAGAATCACCTGGGGGGTTTGGTGAAACAATTGCTGCCCCCCCCCCATTCCTCATTCAGCAAAAAAGGTCTGGGTTGGAGCCTGTGAACGCTTTCAACACGCACTCCAGATGCTTCCCTAGGGGTCGGGAAGCTGAGGGGGGTACAGGCACCCCGGCCTGAACCCGGGCTCCCAACTACTCCGCTGCTGGCTGGACGGGTGACTGTCACTGCTCAGCTCTGGGCCTGTCTTCCCGTCTGTAACATGAGTGACTCAGAGGACATTCTGCCAACTCAGACACCCCCTATAGACACTGACTCCTTCAGGGGCCGCATCCGTCCTGAGGCCTCCGCCCTAGAGCAGTATTTGGGTCAGGACATGAGGTTCCCGGCACACAAGCTGTGTGACCCTTAGCTGGACACAGCATTGCACATAAGGCCTTTGTGTGGCCGCTGACTGTGTCTGCTTCCCACCCTCGAATGGGAATAACCTATCATGTTCTCCAAACTGAGGCATCAAGCGTAGTCTGGAAGGCTTTGCTGCCACAGCTGGGGTTTGGGGAGGAAATCGCCCGAGCAGCTCCCTGGCCCTCAGGTGAGCTCCAGGTGAGGGTGGCTTCCTGGGAATGTGTCCTGTTGTCCCAGGGGACTGTCTGGATGTTGGCCTTCTGGAGTTAGTGACAACCCCAAGCCCCCTCTTCAGGACAGAGGTAGTGAGATCGCAGGTGAATGCACTCAGGGAAGGGGCCTCCATACCTCCTGGACATCGGGGCTGGACCGGGTCAATCTGAGTGACCTCAGGAGGTGGGGAGGCCTGAGGACTGGGGAAGAGTGGCAGGGCCTGCACAGAGGCCCCAGGGCAGTGAGCGGGCACCGGCCCTTCCTTTGCTCCCTCCTGGGCTGACGGCTGGTCTCCGGGTCAGGTGCAGCTGGAGGTTCAGAAGAAGTGGCGGCAGTGGCACCTGCGCGAGGCCCCGTTGTGCCCTGTGGCCCTCGGCAACTCCTTCAGCATCGGCACCAGCAGCCTCACCCAGAGCACCAAGGCCAGCCCCTCGGAGCCCAGCCGGGCAGGTGCAGGGCCAGCGCCATCTGAGAGCGTCATCTGAGAGCTGGAGCAGGGCCAGCCTGGCTGCACCAGGCCGGGGCCTGGAGGGCAAGCCACTGCTTGGGACAGCCCGCCTTCCCCACAGACATCAAGTGCTTTCTCCTGTGACTCATGACCTCCACTCCAGGCCTTGGGTTGGAGGGCGAGAAGCTCTCAGGACTCAGCAGAAGGAAGCTGGGGCCCCGTGGGGCAGGGGGAGTGCGGAAGAGCAGTTCAGGGGTCTTAGAGGGAGAAGGAAAATAAATGGTACCTGGGATGAGACTTGGTCTGTATTTGTCAAATCTTTTTGTTCTTGAGGCAAAGTTGAGGGAGGAAGCACTGGTTCACTCCCTACCCCTTCCTGAAGGATGGGGCTTCCCTGATCCCCAGCTCGTTTTTGAGACAAACTTAGAAGCCCAGGAAACATGAGAGGTCCTTGTCCTAGGTGGACCCTCCCTGCAGCTCACCTGTCCAGTACTCTCATCCTAGAGCCTTCAGGATGACTGCTGGATTAATCTGATCAGGTCCCAGTGGAGGTCAGCGGAGCCCCAGGCCCCCCAGCTCCCTTTTAGTCACCCTAGCATGTAGCATGGTCTGAGGCGGCCCTCAGTCCTAAGGTCCTTTGTCAGTTCTCCACGGCCCCCAGGGCAAGGACCGCCGGGGGTGGGCACGATACCATCTGATAGAAGAGAAGCAGGTTCACCAAGGCCCTGTGACTTGCCCAGGCTACTAGGCAGATATCCGGCTCATCCCCAGACTCTAAGGCGTGTCTCTGACCAGGGCCTGTCCCTCCTCCCATCATGGATTTGAGTCTCAAACTTTTCTCTCTGGACCTCAGTTCCCTTGAATAGCAACACTCCCTCCCCACGAGCCCTGTGAGGCTAAAAGAGGACTCGATATTTGACTCCTTTTGTGAAAGGAAAGCTACCAGTGCTCAGGCGCACACCTGGACAGAGGAGAACCCTCTCCGCAGTGTGGAGGAAGGAGCATCTTGCTGCTGAGTGGGGCCAGCTCTCGTCCTGGCTTTGGGTGGCCCTGGATGAGTGCTGTCCTTCCCTGGCATCCCGCCTTTGCACCTCCACCCTGCAGAGACGAAGGTCATCCTTTGGCCCTCGTACGCTGCTGCTGGTGAGCAGGCCAGGGGCCCACTTCCAGGGCTCGCAACCCAGCCCATGTGGCTGATGAGCTCTGCTCTCCAACTACCCATTGGACCACAACACCTTGCTCGAGCCATGTCCACAGATTTTAGAATAAAAGCTTTTTAAAAATGACAGGAGGTAGGTACAGGCACCCAGCCCAGCCCAGGAAGGGGAACTGCCATGACCAAACAGCCACACACTCAGCGGCGGCCAGATGAACCAGGAAAGGCCAGTTCATTAGGTAGGGGAGCGGGAAGGGGCTAGTGTGGAGGCTGAGGGCACAATGGGACTGGAAAGGGGGCAATGAGATGCCCTAGAACACTGATCTGCTGGTAAGGATGGAAATCTCCCTGGTCTCTGGTCCCTTCACCTGCAGGCATCTTCAGGAAGTTCATTACAGGAGGCCCAGCAGGTCCCGACTGCTCGACTGTTCCAGGATCGATGGCACCCTGAGGCGGCCTCATCCTTACCAAAGGACACCCCTCACCTCAGGGAGGGCTGTGCCTTAGATGTCCAGTGGACTTTTCTGGAAGGCTTGCTCAAAAACTCTTTTCAGAGTTCAGACAGGATTCCCAAAGGCAGAGTCCCCAGAGGAGACAGCCGGCTGCTGGAAGCTGGAGTTGTGCAGGGATTATGGGGTTCCCCAAAGGGCAGGGGTGGAATCAAGTAAAATGGTTTGAAAATCTACCATGTGCAAAAACCTGAGGGAATGCTGCGCTCTGCCTGCCCGGCGTGAGCAAGGTTAGCAGGGAACTGTACACAGAGCTGGTGGACGAAAGCCCCAGGCATCGACGGGCCACCTTTGCTAGAAGGATGATCCACACCCAGCAGCCCGGGAGGCCCCAGGACCCTCCTGCTCGCTTTGCAGCGCAGGCCATGGAGCATGTGCGAACAGTGCGGGCCGTGCGGTCAGCCCAGGCAGCGGTTACCAGAGCTGCTTCCAAATCTGTTCCCGTCCTGGGAAGGATTCGAGAAAAGGGTTTGAAAATGTGTTCTACAGTCTATGTCCTGTGGGGCTGGTGGCACTGCGGCCCCTGGGCCATTCCTGGCTGACCCCCAAAGGGTACTGGGTAAGAGGCAGCAGTTTCAAGGTCGCTGTCCCACCGCTACCTCCACCAGAGGTCATGTGTTGGAAAAGTCCCATCTTGACCACTTTCTTGTAGAACCAGATGTCCTTGGAAGGGGCCTAAAACTTCCCGAGTGGGCCCCAGGGGCGGGTGATGCTGTTGGTGTGGAGGCCACTGACGGCATTCAAGAACAGGAGGAAGGAGGCGGTGAACTGGCACCAGAACGTCAGGGTGAAGCCGGTGAGCGTGACTTGGTTCCTGAGGGGGATCGCAAAGCTCAGGAGCCCCGCCGAGGACAGGACAAACGAGCCGAGGAGGAAGACGCAGCCCAGCGCCCACTTGCGCCGTGAGTGGAGGTCCTCACACACCTGGGACACCATGAGGAACTCCAAGCCAAAAATGGCAGCCACCACGGCCAAGGCGCCCACGCTGCGGGCCAGGACCATGCCCACGGCCAGCCCCGGCACGCCGGCCTGACTCAGGTCTCGGAAGCAGTGTGGCCCAGTCTGGTTGGAGCTGGTGCAGAAGTGCCATAGCCCAAAGAGACGGTCCTCAGCCAGGAGCCAGTGACCGTCACAGATGGAGACCGAAGAGAGGACCACTGCCAGGGCAGCACACACGATGATGAGGGTCCGGATGAAGGACTCGAAGAAGGACCGGTGGGGCTTCCTTTGGCCCAGCGGCCTCTGGGCCTGGAAGACACCAGAGGTGGCACGTCAGGGAGGGCCCCGCCACATCCCCGCCCGCCTTCCCACCGCCATGCTTTCTGCCTGGTCTCCCAGCAAGCCTGGGACACGGCCTTCCCTCCCCGCTGCCTCCCGGCTCCTCTTCACGTTTCAGCACAGACTCACCTTTTTTGGGGAACCCTTCCCCCATACTATCTCTTCCCTGTTTTTCAATCAAGACCTATGAACATTGTCAAGTCACTCACCAGGCCCAAAGGCTCCCCTGACCTTTCTTCAGTGACCTGCATGAAGGAGAAATCCGAATTCTGTTGCCTGGCAAATCCTAGTCCCTTCTGAATTCAGAAAACCTGCTGGCCTGGCTCGCATGACCTTGAGCTAGCAGCCGGCCTGGGTTTCTTTATAAGCAAAACAAGAGAAGTGCCTGGAAGCTGTAGGGGTTGTAAAAATCACTGGAACATAATACGTGGTTGTTTCCCTGGCGCCCTAGAACTTCCCCAGGACAAGTCCATTTTCCTCCTGATCCCCACCCGGCTCGTTCTGCACTTTCCACATTCTGTCCAGGTCTCCGTTTTATTAACTTGTTTTCCTCAGGACTGCAGTGATGTTTGTACCTTGCCCTTCAGTCTCGCTCAGCCCCTCCCAGAACTTGTCAACCAGACTTTCTATTCTAGCAGCCTCTTGCGGGGAGGGAGGGGGGCACTGAGGCTCCTCTTCAGCTCCGGGCCCCTCCCCCACTTCTGGCAAGCTGAGCCAGGTGTCCAGTGAGGTGTCCTTTATCTCGCAGCACTTAGACACCACCCAGGTGCCATTCCCAACCGCCAGCCCAGAAAGCAAAAGAAACACTTCAGAGTAAAACTCTTCTCCAGCCAAGTGCTGCGGATCCGCCAGCTCTGCCCAGCTTCATCCCCCAGTGCGTTCTGGGGGCCACCTCACTCAGGCACAGCAGCCCTCCTTCCATGCCTAAGACAAGCCTAGAACTTTCTTCCCCCAGACCCACTGGCCCCTTTCTTTATTCTTCATGTCTCAGCTGAAATGTCAGGGCGATCTTTTCTGCCTGCCCAACCCGAACCAGGTCCCCTCACTTTCCGTCAGGCAGCTGTCTCCTTCACTGTGTGTTCTTGTCACACGTGATCCAGCCCCTTCTGGTTTGTATTTCGTGTTATTATCTATCTCACTCAGAGGTTTTGCTCTCCAAGAGGGCAGGGCCTTCCATTAAGGAAACATGTCCTTCTGTGTCCCCAGCACTTGGCACAGTGCTTGACCTGGGCATTCAGTGGGCATGCAAGAAGAGCCATGGTATCCTCTGTCACTTCCATCTGAAGTCTCCTGCCAGCCAGTGTGTGTCGAAGCTCACCCAGGGAGGTGAGCAGAACAGGACACCTCATGCATGACAGCCAGTGATGGGGAACTGCAAGGGAACTATGGAGTACACCCCTCACCATGTGCAAATGGAAGCTTCCAGAGGCAAGTCCAGGGCACACCTTTCAGTGAGGCACACAAAGCAAAGCCACGCTCCAGGGACATCCTGTGGTTGGAGCCTTAGCAAGAACGCCAGGCTGACGGCTAACCTGCAGAGGGGAGCAGGAGCTACTGCTCATTTCAGTCCCAGGGATGCACGAATAAGGGCCTTGTGTGCTTTCTGCTCTGCTTAGGTGCGATCCTGTTTCACTCTCAAACCTGAGGCTGGCAGAGTAGGAAGCTCCGCGGGGGTGTGCAAAGAGTGAAACTGCCATGCAGAGGTCAGGTGACTTGCCCAAGCTCACTCACCTAAATCACAATAAAGCCTGTTACAGCTGCCCAGACCGTTGCTAATGTGCAGAGGGTGAGACGTATTCAGCCTGTAAACACCAACTGCGCCTTCCAAGTACAGGGCCTTGGTGTTAGGGGCTCAGGTTTAGAGAGGAAGAGGATTAGAGTACAGAGGGGTACCGTACCCAAAGGGTCAGGACCCCGACTCAAATCCCAAGACAAAGGCAGCCTTCGGTGCAGGGAATAGCACCCAGGCAGGCAGGAGTCTGGGCTGTGGGGTCCAGGTGCTGAGCAGGGGAGCAGGGAAAGCCCCTTCCTCACTCCGACTGCAGCGGATCCATTACCTGCTGGAGACAGTGGAAATCTATGGGTCTGTCCTGGAAAGCATTAGGAAAAAAATGGCTCTAGTACTAAGAAACAAACCAGGGAAACCTTGAAACCTCTGTGTCTATAAACCATTAAAGGCATTGTCCTTGGGTGGACTCTTGACCTCGTTGGCCCTTGTCTTCTTACCTACAAAATGGAGTTGGTGACTCCTGCAGGACAGGGATAGTCATAAAGGCACCTGGGGGTGAAGTTACAACACCCAAGAGGTTGATAAGGTCCTCGGATGGGAAAACCCAGATGCAGAGAACACGTCACAAGGACACAGGGCCCAGAAACCAGCTGACCCTAGACATCATGCTGTCTGGAGAACAGGCATGTTCTGTCCCTCTCCAGCCCCACCTGTCCTGAGCACAGGCAGGACTTTACTCCCCAGGCCTCAGCTATCACACTAGGATCAGAAAGAGAAGACAGCTGACGTCAGTTCACCACCCCCCTCACCCACTACAAAGCAGGTTCACTTTACACTCTCTGACCACCAGAAAAACTTGCAAGGACTAAATGAGATCACATATATAAAAGTGCTTGGCACATGAGCAGCTCACTTCAGCAGAGTATTGGTATCAGTAACAAAAATAACGCATACGGAGTCTTCCTTCCTAACCACCAGGCACTACACCCAGCTCTGGCCCCTCCACGAGTGACCCAGAGCCGGACACCCGCTCCTGCAGGGCAGCTGGAGCAGCATGGGCAGTGCAAGTCCAGGTGGAGCAGGGAGATGAGGGCACTTGAGTTCTGCCCTTGACCTGCCAGCTCCCAGCTGTGTGACCTTGGGCAAGTCACTTTAATCTCAGAGCTTTGCCATTTTCTGATAGAAAAGGGCAAACGTTTCTCTTTTTTCATCTGTAAGTCCGAATGAATGATTTCTTGTGATCCATAGAACACTGCTGGGCCGTTGAGTCCCATGCCAAGATCTTATAACTCAGAACCCATCTGATCCCATCAGCACCCAAGCAGGCACTTTGGGCTGCTCACTACTCATTCTCCACATCCCCAACACGGTCCCCATGTTTGTGCCCCACCCCTACTACCCACTCTGCCCAGGCCCAGGCCAGGCCCTCATTATCATTAACTGGAAATTTCAATAACTTCCTAAAGAGCTGTCCTGCCACCATCCCTTGAGCCACCCCAGAGCCCTGGTCCTGCAGTCCCAGGAGCCAGCAGCCTGCTTCTTAGCTGTGTCTGACGTCTGGCAAGTTATCCTCTCTTCTCTCACCTATCAATGGAGATAACTACCTACCTCCTCGGGTGGTTGTGGGGCTGAAATAAATTCTCACTCCAGGTGCTTAGAACTGTTCCCGGCACCTCGGTTAAGCACTCCTAAGTGGCAGTGACTACTGTCATGTAAGCACAGCACCCTCCCTCCAAGGGCAGCCTGTGTCCTCCTACCTCTGAGTAGAGCCACTGGGCTTTACCCCACCGCTCCCTCTCCCTCCAGCGGGCCTTCTCCCCCTCCCTCCTGTTCCTCTGCTACCAACTGGGTCTTCCTTGCTACCAGTTTCCTGCCCCTCCTAGTCCGGCACAAAGTACCGCCCCCAACCCTACCCACAGTTTTTGCACCAATTAATTTAGCACTCACTTCCCGATTTCTTCTAAATCCTTGTTTACAAGTCTCTCTCCCTAATGGGCAGTCAGTTCCTGGAGGGGAGAGACCACAGCCCGGTCTCACCCGCCTCACGCCGGTCCCCTACTTCCCAAGGCCTGTCCCAGGAGGCTGCCTGGTCATGACTCAAGATTCTGCCCCAGAACAAAGAGGAGGAACTTGCAGCTTCGCGTTCCCCTCCTCCCCTCCCACCCCCAGCAGCTGCGTCCTATCTTGCAGGGGTTTGGGGTGGCCTGTGGGGAGGGTTTTACTGTTTGGGAAGGACAGAAAGTGCGAGTGAGATTTGGAGCTACGAAGTCCTGGTTCCGTCGCTTAGCTGGCGGCATAGACAGGTTCCTTCACCTCCGATTTTCAGTTACCTCCTCAATAAAATGGGCGGAGTGGTGTCTACTGGCTTCAGTGTCGCGGGGGTCAGAGTACTTGCAGGCAAAGTCAAGGAGCCTCTGATCAGCCTCTAATGGTCAGCACAGCCCAGCCCGCGGACTCTGGGGGAGGTGGGGAGGTGGGGGTGGGATGTCTCCGCGGAAAGGCGGCTCGTGCGCAGGGTAGCGGCCGCCACCTGCAGACTTCCCTTGGAAGAGCCGCCCTCCGAGAGAGCGGGCAGGACTGGGTCGGGTCTCGGCCAACACAAACATCTTGCACCACCCGATTGAGAAAGCAAACCTTCTGGGATGCAGGCCGCTCCCCTCACTAGACCCTTTTCTCTGAGACGTCCGCGAGCCCCAGCGAGTCCATCCTCTGTCCCAGACCCAAAACGCAGTTTAGGGGAGGGGAGACGGTCTTTCTACCCCGACCTGAGAAAGTTCTGGCTTCCCCAGAGACGCATCCTCGGTCCATGGGGCAAGCCTCACTTTGCAAGTGGACTCTGTCCATCTTCACCCTAGATGCACCTCCTCTTTAACAAGGAGGGATCTCTCCGGTGAACCAAACCGACGGGCACTGGTGACTCCAACGAGAAGCAGAAAAAGAAGTTGAGGAGCCACGGGGGTTTGCAGGACCGCGAGCAGAGCCGGGGAGCCCACAGCGCCGCAGGGGGCGTTGAGGGCGGGCGCCCCCAGGTCGCTTCCCGCCCACGGTCCACCGAGCCCCGCAAGCTTGCTGCTGGGGGCCGCACGGCGGGGCACTCCGGTCCACCTCCCGGCCGCCGCCCGCGGCTGGAACTCGCTCGCGGCGCCGAGCCCCCCTCCCCCACGGCGGGGCAGACGCCGGCCCGCCGGGAACTCGGGGCTACCTGCACTCCGATGGCAGTCATGCTGCTGCGGGCTGCGCCGCTCCCCGCCTCGCTCCCGGCCGCCGCTCGTCTGCGGGCTCCGGCGCCCGTTCAGGGACCTCTTCGCGGGGCGGGGCGGGGGCGCGGGGCGGGCCGGAGGGCGGGGAGGGAGGCAGCTTTCAACCCCGGTGGGCCGCCCCCGCCGCGCCCTCCGCTGCTCGGTTTGCTGAGTCAGCGGGGCGGCCGGAGGAGCCCCCGGGGAGGAAGGGGAGGGCGGACCCACGGGAGGCGGCCGGGCGCTCGGGGAAGGTGCGAGGACCCCGCCCGCAGGGGTAGGACCCCCGGGTCCGTGGGAGGAGGATCGGGTACTGGGGGATGGGGAGTGACCCGCTGACGTCGGGCCGGGAGCCACTCCCTCACTTCCGAACCCCCGAGGCGACGTCCCGGGAGGCAGATTCCTCGAGGGCTGGACGGCGCCGGCGGAAGGGCCCGGTGATTCGGTTCCAGCCCCAGCTGACTGAGTCCAGTGTCAGCAGGAGGCACGGACCGGGCTTTATTGCCTTCGCCACCCGCTGGGTAGCCGTGGACTGCTTGACTAATGTCTCTGAGCCACGGTTAATAACAAGAAAATATTTCTCAAAGGGCGGAGTTTTGTCGAGGCCCTCAGTAAGTGTGAACAGAGTGGAACCTTCTGGGGCAAACCTTGGGTCAGTTTTCTCTTCTCAAAGGTGGGATGTACTCACCTGCTCCCCTCCTGGCCTCCTCAGCCACTAGCAAAAAGGCAAATAGGACAAAACAGAAGGCATTGTTCTTCCTGGACTTCGGATGCGGCCGAGTTCTCAAGGAGGCCACGCACGAAGTCTCCACACCAAAAGGGGTGGGAGTGGGCAGGAGGGCGCAAGGGTAGCAATTTCCAATGAAGACTGTCCCCTCCCATCTCATGTGTGGGGAAGGGTATGTTGGTCAGGAGGGGGAACCCTGCTTAAATTAAAGCAAAACCCCCTTTCTCCTTAACTAACCGGGGTAAATAAAGTTACTTGGATTATTCAGACAGGCTGGCAGCTCCCCTTGGACTTTACCCAAGGCTTGTAAACAACTCACTTATCTCTTTTCCCTCAAGAGCCATGTAAGAAAGGGGGAAAATTGCAGTTGTCTGTGCATCTCCCAGTTAAATGTTCATCTGATTCCATCACTGCCTTGTAAAAATTCTTAAACCCAGTCCTCAGGGCCCAGGCACAGGAGGGCAGGCTCTCAGCCTCCCTCATCTGAACCAATGGAGAACCAGGAATGGACTTAACTGGCAGAACCAGTCTGGGTCTGAGTTCTTGCCAAAGTTTGCATCAGAACCACCCCAAGGGCTTGTTAAAACACAGAGTGCTGGGCCCCACCCCAGAATTTCTGACAGGGAGAGCCCCACCTGGTGTACGTCTAACAAGGCGCTGCTGCTGCTGCTGCTGCTGCTGCTGGTGGTGGTGGTGGTGTGGGGGCCCTGCTTTGAGAATCACTGAGCTGCCCTGGCCAGTTTGGCTCAGCGGTTAGAGCGTCGGCCTGCGGTCAGAGAGACCCGGGTTTGGTTCCCGCTAAGGGCACGTACCTCGGTTGCAGTTTGTCCCTGGCCCTGGTTGGGTCGTGCCGGTGGCAGCCACTCGGTGTGTCCCTTTCACGTCGATGTTTCTCTCTCTCTCTTCCTCCCACTCTATCTGAACAAAAATGGAAAAATGTCCTCGGGTGAGGATAAAAAAAAAAAAAAGAGAGAATCACTGAGCTAAGGCCAAGGGGAGCTGGCCAGGCCCAGCCAGGTCAGCCCCTCTCTGCTGGGGGCCTTTCCTCCGTGGCTCCACCTACCTTCTCTGCAATCAAGAAGCCAGGTCCTCCCTCCACAGCCCTGGGCCCCAGGGAAGGGGCTGACTCAGGAATGGAGGACCTGGCCTTGCTGGGTGTCCCTTTAAAGAGCCCTAGACTGCTCTGTGGGAGGCCCTTTGGGGTTACTGAATCCAACAGCATTAAAATCAGAAAGAACTGTCAGGTTCTTGTACCTTCTAAGATTTCCTTGTGTGGTCAGGCATGTTGCAAATATACTGCCTCTTTGCTTTCTTGCTAAGAAAAGAAAATTTTGAATCAGCGGAATTTAGAGCAACATATCTGTCAGCAAGATGGCTGGGAAAGCAGAAATGACTTAAGGATAAGAAGGAAGAAGTGACTGTCCAGTTCCAATTATTTTATGGTCATAAAAAGGCCCAGGACACAACCAGGAGTCTGGGTGGAGTTTGTGCTGAGGACCAGGCAGCAAGTCTGTGAGCTGGTCACCAAGGCTGGCCCTCTGCATTCTAGGATCCCTGAGTCTCCTATGGCTTGGGGTAAAGTGGGGTGTGGCAGCAGCCATAGTATTTAGTGCATTCCCAACCCCTGGTGACACAGTAGGAGAGACAGATAACTCAGCAGGAGTGACTCTGGAGGGGAAGGGGATTCCTAGTGCCATGGGGGCCATGCAGGGGCACAGATGGAAGGAGGGAGGACAGGGAAGGACCCCCAGGGATTAAAACCAGAAACAGCATTGGGTGAATGGTGGCCCCTGGACAGCCCAGGACCTGCCCTATTCCTTTATTTTCTCTGCCCTTTCTCTAGACAGTGAGACAGATGCAGTACCCATCCCTCTCCCATCCCCACTTCTAGGACTGGTCACAGTTAGGGAAAGAGAAGCAGCATAAAGAACAGAGGAAGTGGCCCCCACTGCACGCCTCTAATTGCTGTTGTCTGATGAGAAGGACCTAGGTGTTGCTCTTAGAGAGTTCCAAGGTAGGCACACAGGTACTGATTAATGAATCAATAAAGACTAGATCTATTAGTCAGTCAACAACCACTGCCCCACCACTGGGCCTTTGTACTTGCTGTTTCCTCTGCCTGAAATGTGCTTCCTCAAGATATTCACATCGAAGACTCACCACCTTACTCATTTGAGGTCTGGGCTCAGATGTCACCTTACCAGAGAAGGTTACAATGACCACCACATCTGAAACAACCCCCTTCATCCCCCCTCCACACATACACACACACGTCCCCTTTCTCTCTATAATGTAAACTCCGAGAGGCCAAGGACATTGCCCTGTTCACTGGTCTATCCCTGGTGCCTATGACAGAGCCAGGCATTTGGAGGGTGCTCGAGAAATATTCATTAAATACATGAATGAGTACCCACCACTGTCCTGGTCAATGAAGAAAAAGACAAAGTTTCTGTTGGTGGTAAAGTGCTTCAATTTTAGGGTCAAAATCTGCCTCCCCTTCATTTCTGCTCCTTCTCCTGTCTCCCCAGTTTAGGCCCACACCCTCCATCTCTCTAGTCCCTCACACCCTTGGTCCATTGCATCCTTTCCTCTCCCTCACCCTGCGCCCCATCATCTCTAAAATGGATGCTGTGTAGTAGCCTCCTGCCTGGCCTCCCTGCCTCCATCTCACCTCCTCTGCTTCTTCAGGGCTTTTCACTCCCTCATTCCCAAGGCTCATGAGGCTGGAGTTATCTGGCCCCCGTCTCCCCCTCTCATCCTCTGCTCCAGTCACCCTTGCCAGCTTGGGCCCCGGGCAGGAAGTTCCATCTGTCTTGAGGCTTCTGTGTCCAGTGTTCTCTGTGAGGCTGGCCTTCCCCTAGGGTCTGCTGGACAAGCTGCCCCCTCTTCAGGGGCCTCCCTTGACTTCCCCAACCAGAGTAGCACCTCCACACCCTTGCCCCTATTACCTTTGCATTTTCTTGATCATTAGCTGAACTTCTTCGTGTGTCTGTTTCCTGGATTTTCTGTTTCCTGCCCTAAAATGCTCCCTGAGAGCTGGTACTGCCTGTCTCTCACTGCTGTATGCCCACTTCCAGGAGTTGGGACGTGCCGGTCAAGTTTGCTACGTGACCAACCAGGCTTCAGACGCATTTGGGCAAATCAGTTCTCTGTGAGCCTCAGTCTCCCATCAGACAGGGAAACATCCCCTTTGGTGTTGTGTGGGTCTCGTGAGGCGGTGCGTGTGAAGTGCTCAGTAATGTATGAACGTGTCCCTGACCCCAGTGTCCCTGACCCCAGAGACCCTTAGATGGGACCGGGGCTTCATCTCTGCCCTTAAAGAAATCCTGCCCTGGCGTTTTCTCCTCTGAGGAGTTGGTATTGAGGGGCAGGGGCTCCAAGGTGGGGCAGGCACACTCGGGAGACCCAGAGGCAATGACAGGGAGTGTGCTGGGAGCCTCGCTTGAAGTTCACCCAGCCTGCCTCCTGCCTGGACTTCTGACCTCTCCAACTGCCACCTGCTCTGTGGCCTTGAGAGGAAACAGCGTCAGCCCCACGACCTCCCCCACCTTCTCCCTGCCACCTTGCCTTCACCCATGGGGTCTGCCTCCCCTCCCCGCCTCCTCCGCACGCTCCCTGATTCCAGGCCAGTGCATTCCCCTCCTGCCCTTTGCCTCCTGCCTGGAGCTCCAGCCCCGCATTCCGACTCCCCTGCAGAGGTGCCCTATTGCAACACAGAGCTTGTTTACCACTTTCTGGTGGGCTGGGGGCCAAGGCTTCCCCGCCCTGCTCTGTGGCTGGCCTCGTCCTTGCTTGTCTCGGGTCCGGCTTCAGGTGTGATGTGCAGCCTGGGTCTGAAGAGCGGCCTGTTAGCCTCAGACAGCTCAGGACACTGGAAGGCGGGAGAGGACCTGGCTGCGGGTGGAGCAATGAATGAATAAAGCAGGAACTAGGTATCTTTCCTGAGAGTCTTTGTATCAAAACTCCCCCAGCATTTTTGTTTTCTAATCCTCACCCAGGATATTTTTCCATTTATCAGATAGTGAGAGAGAGAGAGAGAGAAACATTGATGTGAGAGAGAAACATCCCTTGGCTGCCACCTGCATGCCCCCTACTGGGGATGGAGCCTGAAACTTGGGCATGTGCTGTGATTGGGAATTGAACTGAGACCTCTCAGTCTATGGGGCTGACGCTCAATCCACTGAGCCACACTGGCCGGGCTAATTCAGTGTTTTCTACGTGCTACGTTAGGTCCTAGTGAAACCAATTTGGTAGAGGCAAAAACAGAACTTATAAGAAATAAATAGAACAGAAAC